TTGAGTAGTGAAAATAATATTTTACACACTACCTAAAACAATAATGAACATAATTAATATACTATTAAATTACTTCAGATACAAGTCAAGAAAGTATTAGTTATTTCAACTTAATAATTACTTGTGTAGGTGGCAATGTCAATATGTATTATTAAGCTTTAGAAAACTCGGTTCCATGTTTTGCATTAATTTGTTTATACATGTTACTAAAAAAAGTAAAAACTTCTATTCTTTTAATTTTATTGAAATTTCTTTGAATTTTACTTACACCTTTTAACGCACCATTAACTGGATAATCTAATTTTAATAAATCCATACCAAAAGTCTGGAAATATCTAGATAAAGGACTAAGAATTTTGAATAAATGTATAATAATAAAAACCATTAAAATTGTTGAGTAATATAAAAATGAATCTTTAGAATATTTAGCATTAACTTTAATATCACAGTTAAGGGGGTCTGATTTCATAATGGTATTCAATGTTATTATGAGAGAATTATATTAAGCACCATAGTTTCCAAAAATTGACTTCCAACATATTTTCCCGATGATTGCTAGCTGCCATTTGTCATTTTCTCCAATAACTGATTTCCATACATTAATTCATTTAAATAATTCTTTAAAAAAAGATGGTCATGTAACACCAGGCACATAATTAAGTAGGTGAAGATTTAGATAGCCAAGCAGAAAAGCCATTATATTGGCCCTGCATATTAGCTGCTCTACCAGTAGCATTTCTCACAAAATGTTCAATATTAAGTCCATTCTTGGTTAATTTTTTTCAATTTAGAATGGACACTCTTTCCTTTTGAATCTTACATAGTAACTACTAAAAATAATTTTCATTTACATATCTTATAATTATAGAACATTGGTCCTGAATTGAGCCATCTTGAGTTGTAAATATCTGAATAGAAAACATTTCTGCTTTTTGAACTTCAGTAACAATTAATTTTTTCAACCCTTGAATTTTGAATGAAAATTATCCAAGCATAAGATGACTAGATTTTTTAATGTAGTTAGTACATTACAAAATCACTATGGCATATGTTTTCTAAATTTTCATTTAAGCTACCAATGTCACGTTGATCTTGGATTGTAAAATTATCCTATAAATAAAAGTAGTTAATATACTTAGATACTATAAGTAGGTAGATAGGTACATTCGAATGCATTTGAAAAGATTTTAAAACATTAGTAGAAGTATTAAATATTAAGTACAAATGAAACAGTTAAAATAAAATAATTTAATTTAATGACCCAAATTATTAATTTTATACTTTGGTCGGTACATTTGTACCCTATGATAAAATATTTTTATAATGATTTGAACATTTTTCAAATTCATAAATTAAAAAAATTAAATTATATTTTTGTATTATCTATATTATTATTATTTTACAAAAATGTATACCTACTTTTTCTTTTACGTTTATGAATGTCACATCATTGTCAAGAAGATGGTCGTTATCATGGGTATAGACGTAGTATTTACAGTGTTATGATTTACATCTTGAACAACTTCTAAACTTTATTAATCAATGTTCTAAAATGTAAAAATATAAAAGTATTGAATTTATAAGTTAGTGTTTATAAAATGCACTCCAACTTTAATAAATAAAATAAAATTTAGATTTCGATATTACCTACGTCAATATAACTATAAACAAAATAATGGATAACTTTTATTAAAATAAAATGATCACGTATCCAATAATAGTGTCTGGGGGTAAACCTACCCCCCCCCCAGAATACACTACCAATGTAGAAATATTTTCCTAATTTTAAAATATCTATGTTTTGATTTGTGTTTAAGGTAGGTACTTAGATTTTTAAATTAAATTATTATTTTTTTTATTTTTAACCCAAACTGATTGGAAGAAACTAGTTATAAAAAAATTGAAAAACAAAGGGTATCCGGTAAAATAAACTTATAGCATATATTTATTATACCTACTTGCAAATAGTGAAAGTTATATATAAGTATATACCTATAATTATTTATTTACCTGTTTGTCCAAATCGTCTTTTTTTTTGAAAACATTTGGTTTATAGTTAAACAATGTTTAGCTAAGGCCAATAGTAACTTGTTTTTTATTTTTTTCCATCGCCGCATATTTGTAGTTCGTTTCTAATTTTTTTATTCATAATTATTAATTTGCTGTCAAACGTAAAATAAGTTACCTATATTTCTATTTGGTTTTGGTATTAAACATTTAAATTATAAATGACTTAGGTATCTACGGTTAACCACACAATGAATACCAATTATAGTACTATAGAGAAGAGATAAGAATAGTACAGTATTACAGTAATTTACCACGATTCCTAAATTCTAGATACTTAATCTTTAACAAAAACATAGAATTAATGTTGGGCGTGTTAAAATACGTTATAAATAATTCTAAAATCTGTTTTTCTATTTCTTTCTTGTCTTCTATGGTACATCTATAAGGTCTCTTACAGCAATATTTATCAACAATAGGTCAATACGAGCCTCGTATTTGTTCATCATCCTGATGTCATATTTTTATCTATTGCAAAAACTGGTTTGTATTTCATAACTAGTTTATTTATTTCAACTTTTTCCTGAAAATCTAAATGGTTCATTTTTATTTCAAAATTGTTCTTATCTAAATGTTAATTTAAATTTTATGCGATAATATTTTACATTTTGAGTGGAGCGAAGAAGTTTATGGTTTTACAAAGATGTTTATTTTTTCTATTGACAACTTTTCTACCAGAACTTGCTCCGATTTTTACATGTAACAACTTTTCTGAAAGCAAATCGGTCTGAAAAGATACTTTAGAGAGGTCGTTTTTTCGATTTTCACGAAATGTAAAAAACCGAAAAACCGGGGAAATCGGTACAATATTAAACAAATATTCTTTAAGAAAATAAATAGTTTATTTAACTAATTTACTATAATATGGCATATATATAGTTGACAAAACATCACTAACCACTGAACTCTGCTTAGAATTGTTTTTTTGTAAGCAATAGTTTATCGTTGCTTACAGGTATATATTAAATTACCTATAACAGTGGCTGCACCCGTGTCCATTTTCCTAGGACGTCTTAATTAATAACCTGTACATATTAACTTCCTTTACCACCCGAACCTATTATTACAAAATGGGGAACATAATTAAATGCTGTACTTTTCTATGCAAATAATTTTGAAGAGTTGAAATACGCGATTGAAAGTTTAACAGTTGATGCTACAAGTGTCCAAAAGCTGAAACAATTTATACAAAATAATGCAGTCAAATGTGGTTTAGCATTCATAAAATTATATTTATCCGAGTTATCCATGAATCTTAAAAATTTGGAAGAATCTAATAGTGAACTACTGAAAAGCATGGATATTTTTAAAAAATTAAAGATATTTTAACAAATATTCCTGGTTCAAATGGAAAAAAATTAAAGTATGTATTTAATTGAAAAAAATGAAAGGTATAAAACTTTAAAGTCTTACTATGAAGTCATGTCAGGTAAATCAAATTTTAATTTAGATATAATGCCTACTTTATTAAATTATTTTAAATATGCACCAATAACTAGTGTAGACGTAGAACGTAGTTTTTCTTTCTGCAAATATATTTTAAGTAATAAAAGATTTAATTTTAATGAAACTAGTTTAGAAATGTATCCAATTATCAATTTTAATTTAAAAAAAGTAACACTTATCTAAATTTTTTTTATATAACTTGCATTTTTATAGTGCAATTTATTATGCAATTTTTGGGTATTTTTTGATGCAATTATATAATTTTTATATACATTACAGTTGTTGGTCATAAGTATATTTTTGGAGTCAGAACTCGTTACACAAGATCAGAGGTTACCAACCTTTTTTTAATAATGGCAACCTAAAGTATTTTTTAAAAATCCGGTAACACCCTATAGTATTATAATAGTATATTCTGTGTTTATATGTATAGGTATTTTATAACTTCACTTTTCTTAGCTAGGTATTACTATACTTACACTAGAGCAGATCTAGGAAATAGATAAGGGAAGAGATAAAAAAAAAGTCATCTTTCATAGGTTTAGAAAGGTTTTTTTGATTAGTTTTATAATTTATATAATGTAGTGCAAGTTCTATTTTGAATTACCTACACCTGTGAAGGGGGAACTTTAGTCCCCATAGTTCGCCCTAATATCTGCCTCTGTATACACATATTATATTTTGTAAAATGTATAAATTTAAATTTTATGCTAAAGTTGTTAGATTAATATTATTTTTAGACATAAAAATAAATGGAATTGTTTAAAAAAACAAGTCTTAAAGTATTATATATTTTTATATTTTTGTAACTACTTAATAGTTATCATCATGATCAAAGCACTAATAAGCATATTATAAGCCCATTGATCATGATGATGGAGCTCTGCCAAAACTAAGTAGTTCCGAAATATAAAAATATATAAAACTTTAAGACTTGTTTTTTTAAACAATTGACTTCATTTATAATAGATGTCAAATATCTCAAACCTACAATAAAAATAAAGCTACAGGTATTCAATTTTTCATAAATGAGTGGTGGTGTAACCATTTTATAATGGTCCTACTCAGAGAACAAACCAGTATAAAAATTAAAATATATTTTATAAAATCTATGCCTTATTACACGTACCTTAAACCAGAGGTTCTTAACCTTTTTTTTTTAAACAAGGCACACTATGCTCTTTACATAATTTGTGTCCATAAATTTGATTATGTTTAATGTTGCATTATTATCCTTAGAGTTTAATCTAGGAGTTGCTAAAATATATACATACATATTATTCTAAAGAGACTGCTGGACAGAATTATTATTGACAAATTTATATCATTAAAATAATATAATATCGAGTAATACAAAATGTTGGTTTAAAAAATTAATTACATAATGATGTGAATTAATAATGAAGATAGGAATATAAAATATATATTTGTAAAATAAAAAATTATTTATGTTAGAACTTAAATTGTAATAAAAATAAAAACTATTGTTACATTATCCTACAGAAGCAACATTTATTATCATTATTGGAATTATTACTAATATTAATAGAGCTGGCACTATCATTATTTTCTACAATTTTAGAATTAATATTAATTTCTAATGCATTTTGATTGGGTAAATGGTTTTTGTTTTTAGATTTATTAGATAAATTTGAGGATATAGAACTATCTTCATAATCTTTTACTTCTAATTGATACATTAACAAAATGTTGTCCAGTACATTTTTATATTTTTGATGTTCTTGATGAGTTTTATCGTTCAAAGCTAATATTATTTTCTTACAGATTAATTCAACAAGATTTAATTTATTGTGTTCATTGAAAAATGATGAAGAATGACACTGAAAACAAACAAATTAAATTAATTATAGAATAAAGTTAAACAGAATAATTGAAATTATACCATACTGAACTACATTTAAAATTAAAATCTATGTTCTAATAAGTAAAACAAATATCTTTATAAAAGTAATTTTATCATTAAAATTCCTTACCAATATTAAGTCACTTGTTATTAATTCAGTTTCTTGAGCTTTAATAAGCATCATAAAATAGTCTATATCATCATTTAAGTTGTTAGAGAATAATATTTTATATGAACAAATTTGAGCCATAATTTTCCATCGTGTCTGACAATCATAATTATCTAATATACCTATTAAATATGGAATAGGATTTTCACCTCTATTATGTTTTTTTGCAGCTAAATTTAAGTCAACTAATAAATTTCCCTTATTAATTGTCTTTGGTAATTGATTTTCAAATAACTGATGTACACTTGAATTACTTTTGATCTAAATTAACAGTATAAAATATAATTAGAAAAAAAAACCTAAATAATTACAACCATTGATATAAATTTTAAAATATCTACATATTTATTCACATTTTTTCCCATTAAAATAATAACTTTTACAATAGCTTGTAAAACAATCAAATCATTTGGTGATATTTGTAAACCTTGTATTAATAATTTTTTTGTTAAATTTAAGTCATTAACAATTATTGGAAGATTTATTAAAGTTCGAGCACATTGTACAAGCATAAGAGGGTTTTTTGGCTCAATATCAACTGATACTAACCTGATCATAAAATACATACATTTTAATTAAATAATTTATTTTTTATGATATAAAAAACGTAAATGTACTAAATCATACTTGATCATATTAACAATTGTATATAAATCATCTCCAAATTTAATTTTTTGGAATGTATTTGTTTTATTTTTATTTGCATAAAAATTGTAAAAAAATTTTTCCTTATACAATGTAATTTCATGGTATCTAATAAAAAGATTTTGACCATTAGACAGCATAATTGATTGGTTAATTGAATCTATCTCATTGTCTGTTGGACATGATTTATAAGTTTTCAAAAAGACTCTACGAGTTCTCAAAACTAATGCATGAAGATAAAACCAATAAGAATTTGATGGATTTAAATTGCATGCTTTTTGTGAACATTCTTCAGCTTTCTCAAAGTAATCTTTACTACCACCATATTCAATTAATACAGCAGCCTCTATAGCAAATACAACTGCTTTACATTTTGCTTTCATTTTCGAAAATGGTTTGATGGTTTCCAACAGCTACAAATAAAAATATATGTAAACACATTTTAAAATTTGTAAAATATTAAACATAAGACTAAAATACAATTTTAAGGGTGCCTAGTAAGGTGAACATAATTTAGAAATGTGTTGAACTAAATGTGGAGCTCACCAAACCAACAAAAAGTCCTTAGTTTAAAAAGAAATACATCAAATTTAAGCCCTTAAGAAGACTAAATTAAACAATCAAATATATTAACCTCCTGTAGACCAAAACTTTATACCTAATGAGCTGTTCTTTAATAAAACTAATTTAAATTTTAAATTTATTTTATAAATTTCTACTTATTTGATGTTGAGTAGTTTGACGTGTTAAACACTGTATGGAATTATATTAAATTAGATTTTGTTGTGAGATTTTTTACAATTTATTTATTATGTTTTAACATTTATATCATTAAAATGTACCAATATAATTTTATTATCTTGTAAGTATTTTTTTTATTTTTCAACTTATTTAGTTTGAGATTAAATAATTTATAATTTATTTTACCTAAAATTTCAAGGGCCTCATTAGAGGAGGACCTAGTCAGCGATCACAGTCTCACCATCCTGGCCAGGCTGCCACTGAGTACAAGTTTGAAAGAACAAGCCAAGAGAGCTAATAACAATAAACGGTTACGTAATAGATGAGGTTGAGAATTTTAAGTACCTATCTAGGATCTTTTGTACAAAATTTGATGGCTTTCCTGAGGATGCAAAATATAGAATTAAGTATGGTTGGATAAAGTATAGATAATCAACAGTTATTTAATGTGATAAGAAAATTATAATGAGACTTCTAAAAAAATGTGGTGAGACTATGTTGTTTGGTTCAAAGTGTTGAGCAATAGACAGAAAAATAGAACAGAAAATAAGTATAACGGAAATGAGAATGTTTAGGTGGATGAATGTAGTGATGATAGAAAATAGGATAAGGGATATATTTATAAGAGGTATTGTAAGCGTGACTTTGATAGAAGACAAAATGAGAGAAAATAGACTGGGATGGTTTGAACATGGAGACAGTAATTTGAAGCAGTAAGAATTATATGGAAAATAAATATAGGAGGTCTTTCCTCCTATATTGGAGTATTGTTTAGTACAGTTGAGTATTAATATTCTATTATTTTCAACTAATTTTATTTAGTAGTAATAATAAATTATTAGTTGGAAAATATTATGTTTGTGTCATGCATTTATTATGTAAAATATAAATCTTAACAGCAGAATGGACAAGATTTCTAGAATAAGTTACAAAAAAAAGGCATTACAAATCATTATAATGTAAAATATTAGTACACATTTCAGTCAGAACAGTTTACTTTAATAGTTAACGATATTGAAGACTGAATGAATTTTATTATTTACTCCCAGTAACATTATTTAAACGTGTCTACAGACTGAACATATTAACTATTAGATACCTACTAATTTTTCAAATAACTTACGTACAAATGTTTACAGTACCTACTCTACTAATTAGCTAAAGACAAAACACATTTTTCATGAGGTAATATTTTTATTAATTAAAAATATTGTATTAAATAAACTCACAAACTGATTATTATTCAAATTCATATGAATTAACATTGATTTCAAAACATATTTCAATCCATTACTAATTGAGAAGTAAAACTTATCAATACAATCATCCAGCTTTTCTAGCCAATTGCCAATAAGTACTATTATTAATTTTGCAGTTTCTTTCTTTCCTTTAAGAAATAGCTCATAACTAATAATAATATTTAAAATATACCTAAACAAAAAAAATATTTTAAACACAAATATATTTGTTTATGTGCAAATAACAATAAAAAAAAAAATTGCTATATATACAATACCGGCTAAAAGTTTGGCAACAAATAGTTCAAGTAGTTTGGATTGGAAAATACATATTTTTCCGGGAGAATTGTCTCGAAAAAAATTTTTTCTGCTTACAATAACATAAATTAAAGTCAAGTATCTCATGAAAAAAATTGTTAGCCACAAATGATATGAACCGTAAAATGTTCATTAGTTGGTTTGTTTTCATATTGTCGACAAAATAAATGACTTTGTGATACACTCATAATGGTATGAAACGCGGCAACTATCTTTCGTATACAAATAGTATGGAATATCCAACACTTTATCACAAACATAATCGATTTTAATTTAATTTAATCACTAACTGATGTGTAACCGGTGTACATGTTTATTCAGTACTGGGTTTCGTTTGTCGTGTTTTAAAGACTGTAGAAAAGCAAGTTTTTACTGTATTTATTTATATGTATTATCATGGAGAACCACAAAGAAATTCCTATTGAAAAAAGGAGGGCTGTATTACTATTGTATATTGAAGGTGTTTCATACCGAAAAATTGCCAAAACTTCGAAAATTTCATTGAAAAGTGTGTACTCAAAAATAAATCGATTTAAAGACACTGACAGTTATCACGATTGTCCTTGGATCGGACGTCCAAAAGTAACCAATCTTCAAAAAGATAAACATATAGTGGTTACCTGTAAATGGAACAGACGGTTAACAGCTCCTGAAATTCACGCAGACATCAACATAACCCTTGAAAAGCCAATATCACTAACAACTGTGAAAAGGAGATTAAACGCTACCGGATTTACAGGACGTATTGCAGTAAAAAAACCGTTGCTGTGTAAAGAAAATAAAATTTCAATGAGCTAAAAGCATCAAAACTGGACGATAGATAAATGAAAAATTCTAGAGTAACGAATCAAAGTATGAAATATATGGCTCGACGTAGAACTTATGTGAGAAGAAATGTATCTGAAAAAATGATACCACAGTGTGTAGTGTCTACTGTAAAGCATGGAGATGGCTTAGTTATGGTGTGGGGTTGTTTTTCTGACCGTGGGACCGAAGATAAAGTAAAAATTGATGGTATTTTAAAAAAATTGCAATATAAACAAATTATTGTTGCCATTCACTTCCCTCTAGGTTCAGAAAAATTGGCCATGGTTTTGTTTTTCAGCAAGACAACGTCCTAAAACAAACTTTGGTCCTTTGCCGCAGTTATTTAGAGCAGAAAGAAACAGATGGTGTTCCTGAAAATATGACAAGGCTCCTGCCATCACTAGACCTCAACCCGATCAAACTTTTGTGGGAAGATCTTAATCGAAAAATAAGAACATTGTGTCCAACTTCCGCTGCGGACTTGTGGGAGAAATTTAAAGAGGTAAGGGCTTCCATGGAACAGTAAACAATAAGTAAGCTGATTGAAAGAATGCAACGACTGGTAAAAGCAGCCATTAAAAGTAAGGGTGAATTTTTCGATGAAAAGAAATTTAATCTTAAAACGTTTTTTTTTTCCTGTAACGATGATGTCTGAATCACACTTAATATATTCTATTTGTTATACAATATCCTAAATAACTTAATTAATTAATTTTTCAAAAAATTTGTACAAATTTCCATATACATCAGTAGTAGATCATTTTTTAACTGTGTTTCCAAACTTTTGATCGGCAGTGTATTACAACAATTGTATGATGACTTTAAAATGGTTTTATATGTATAGAAATTATTATTTAGTACTTATATGAAGAAAAAAAAACTATTAAAATAAATATGAAATAATAGAGTATCTTTGAATCTAAAAATATTTAAATATCATCATAAAAATCTAGTAATGAATTTTACCTTTCAAACGTGAAGATAGGTTGGGAAATATCTAAATTGTAATCACCATATTTCTTTTTAATGGATGTAATCATATCCTTTTTGGAGACTATGTTCCAAGTGAATAAACAACGCAAAGCATTGATTTGATTCATTTTTTGTTTATTAATAGGATTCATATTATTAGAGTTTGTTCCATGTAATTGGTTTTTTGAAATTTTTTCTTTTTCGTATTGATGTCTTATAATATTATTGAAGTAATCCTCAATGCTTACAGTAATTAATTGATCCAAATGTTCATCCAGAATTGTTAGTAATTTAAAAGAATCCTCTAACAATGATACTGGTTGATTAGTATCAGTCAACTCATTTACTTGATTGAATTTAAATAAAAACATTTCAATATTTTGTCTAGTGAGTTCTACAGAAGTTGATAACATTTTGGTGTTGCTATCCTCTGTTAAATGTTTCTTCGCAATCCATTCATTATACATAGAAGTAAACATTTTCTCTACCTAGTGTCTATTTAACATAACAAAAAATCAAATAATTTTTTTGGTAACATTACTATTATTATTATTATTATTATTATTATTATAATACTAAGTATTTATTATATTTTACTACAATATTCATTACAATAATATTGTATTATAGTCATGCTTTAGGACTATACAACAGAAGAATCCACTGAAGATGAACTAATTTTACACAATATGGATACTCCTGATCTATCAACATCAAATGTGCATGTAAAGTAATTATAAATCATCGGTTATCAGCTACATTAGACAAATGCAAAATAAGTGATCGGGACGGCATAAATTTACTCACAGTAGTTGCTAAATTATTTAATTTAACATATAGTACTAGTAAATACTAGTGAGTACATAATTAATAGATCCTCAATTAAAAGAAACCAAAAAAACAGTCATGGAAAAATATCCAAAACCTAATTACCGATTACCTAAGTTAACAAGAAGAGTGAAAGTAGCTTGCCTGCCCATGATTATTACACCGCCTAATACTGAGCAATTATTAGGAGTTTCACAATTACCATCTGGGACAGGGAACAAAATACCTTTGACAATATATTACACTTTACAAGACTGGTTCAAATGAAAGCATTTGTATTTTACACTACAGCATCAAATACTAGACCTTAAAATGATACATGTACTGTTCTTGAACAAAAGTTAAACCGTAATACTATTTTCTTTGCATGTTGTCATTAAAGACTACTATTTATTTTTTTAATAAACATTTTTCGCTTTCAACCCATACAAATAGGGTTTACTAAAAGTTAGCATGTTTAACCTAAACATTTTCAAATCTTTATTTTAAAATATATTAATTACCAACTAGTATACTCATAAATTACAAAATCTGTATCTTATTATTTTATTTTATTCACTATACAGAGTGATCAATTTATCATAAGACACTTATTATCTCGGAAAGTATTAACTTTTATTGGAATTTGTTTTATAGGACATTGTAAAAACAAGCAGCTCTACAATTTTACATTGATGTAATTTTTTGTCACCCTTATTTTTGGGAGTAAAACCACGAACTACTTTTGAATTTCAAGTGAACCTAAATTAAAAATTGTTAAAATGTTTGATTTAATGGAGTATCATTTATGTGACAACAATACGAGAGGCATTTTAAAAATACACCACTACTCTCGCCCAATCTAAACTTAAAATCTGTGAACAACTTTTCTACTAGAAAAGTTTTCAAGTATTGCACCTTTTCTGAATGCAATATAAAATATATAAAATAAAAATATAATACATTTCATAAATTTTCCCGTTTTTCCTACATTTTTTTTCTTTTATTGTTTATATTATAAGTTAAATTACATTAGGACTGATCAAAAAAAAAAAAAAATTTCCTTCCAGAAAAGGCACTACAATTGAAAATTGGAGCAATATTTCTGGTAGAAAAGTTGGTCACAGAAAAAAAAAATAGACATCATTGTAAAACCAATACATTTCTTGCGCCGCTTAGAATTTAAAATCTTGTAAGAGTGTCATATGTAGAAGTTATGAGATTAAGGAGGCATAGCCCACCAAAAACATCCAAATTCACTCGGATATGTGTAGTTATTTTATATAATAAGTTAGTCTTAATATAATATATATTTGGGCTATTCTAGTCCCCACCTCAAAAAGGTATCAGTCTTCACCTGTTCTTAGACACAAAAATGTTAACAGTTATAAATAATGCAGTAACAATCAAAAGTATGAGCAACTGTGTAAATTTGTATGATTATTCATAAAATATAGATATTAAATATTTTGTGAAATATGTAATATTTTTCCTCTCCCTCGTGTATAGGTACTTAAATATATTGAAAATGTATGATTTTATGTCTATTGAATATACAGAAAAGTGTAATAAAAAATAAAAATCAACATCTATATCCGTTGACTTTAGTATATTATTTATTATCTAGCATCTTCAAAAAGAAAAGAAATATTTTTAAAAACCATTCTAAATGCCTGATGTATTCAAAATAAGACACACGGATTTTATTGAACAATCAAATGTCTATGTTATGATATTTAATAATAATAAAACACAAAAAAATGTTAAACTTTTTATTTTATTAACTAGATATTTAAATATTTTGGTAACAACTAAAAGAAAAAATTGTATTATTCATAAATATTATGTGTGTACTATTGTCTAATATTATATGCAGACATGCAGTAGGTACACAGTTAAAAAAAATACTATCTTATTAAAATATTTCTTTATGAAATAAATAAAAGTAATATAATGAATTTTGTTTGAACACAAAAAAAATGTATGTTTCACATCGGATAGGAATTTTTCATGCTGCAACTGTCTCTTTACAAAAATTTAAGAAAACTACAAGAAAGATTGTATCGGAAAACCACGACATTTACGTAAAGTTGATTTTATATCAAACACCCTTTGTTACAATACATTTATTATACCATATTCTGCTATTGCTAGTTCTACAATTTACAAACTTAACTATCCCCAATAAATAACAGGCTGTTATTTACTAAATATCCTATTTTGACAACATTATTTAAATGTTTATTTGAGAAAACCAAAAAATTCATGGCTATAATTTTACACAATGTCCAAAAAAATTGCATTTAAATAAAATTATTATGTTGATATGATAAAAATTGTTTAACTACTATTTAGTTGTATTAAAACCTATCAGTTTATTTTTCATTTACATTAACTAATATTTGCTACCCATATTCATACCCATGTTAATACCATTAATACCTGTTGTGGATAAAGGGTTATCAATAAAATATTTTGGCATCCCTCCCTTATTATATAAATGTATATATTATGTTCTGTAGGATATTTAAAAATGTTCCCGTCTCCTCTGTAATTTTATATCGTCTCACATGTTGAAAACCCTTGTTCCAGATAATTATATTTAATATAAACGCGTCTATAATTTAAAACAATCATTCCATTTCGGAGAAATAGTTAATTTATAATAATAGTGTAAGAATATTATTGGTAGGTAGTCAATAAAGAATCTTTGTTATTTATGTAAAAAGACGCGAACGGCCAAAATGAAAATTGGTTTTTATAGGCTTAAGATTTGATAATGATTCTATCCAAATTACCAACTTGTTTACATAATAGGATTTCAAAATTCTGAATGAGTCTATATTAGATCGAAAAAAAAAATATCACAATAAAATCGAATATTTTAAAAAAAAATCTTACAGATTCTATTTAATTAAACCGCGACCACATATTCAAGCTGTCTACATGTTTAAATGATACCCGATTGAACCGCAATAATTGTTTAAATTGCTTTAACCGATCATACAATCATAATGTTGTTCCTATCATCATTAATTATTTAATATAACTATTGGAGCATACCGGTTTAATCAAACGATTGTCTTAATGATTAAATCATGATCAGTGATATAACAGTATATACTATATATATATTATAGTCAATGGTAATAGAGTATTATTTTTTATTATATACTTATATCATTTTGTAATTAGTAGGTAACTAGAAATTAATATTTCACATTAGTTCGGATAAACATACAAATTGCCCAAGTACCTACCTACCAGTATTTAAATTTATCAAGTACCTATTACTGGTTTTTTTTTCTCGCTATTTGATTCTACCTACCTAGCTACAGAAGTACGTTAAGTACCTACCTATCTAAATAATGTCGACCGAACAATCGACGTGATTGTGAAACGAATGCCGACACGGTATATAGGCCTAGTTTTCGTATTTTACTATCAAAATTCGGCAACAAAATTGATCTATGCTACTAAAAGAGGACGAATATATTCCAACCTATACTGTCTACTGCAGTAGCTGCAATGTTATTATATCGTATTAAATCTAAACTTTTTAATGCAATTATTAGTTGGTTACTAATATAGTACTAACGTAATAAAATAACTAGTACTTACGTCAAAACAAATAATTAGGCAAATTGTATATAAGCCAGTACTCACCCGATGTTTCGATTGTACAAATTTTCAAAATATATCTTTTGAGGTTCGAGCATATGTGTCACGGCGAACAAATAAATGAATCGGCTTGTGACTGCGTCGTTATCAACTTATTGCGCCAAATATATTATATTATTTAATCATTTAATGGGGCCAACACTGAATAACTATTAATGGGCTGTTTGAGTAGGTACTTATTTCCAACTATTTTCTGTCAGGTATAATATAATATGATAAAATTATAGATGATACTTTATGAATGCTTACTTAATATTTTAATATTCATTTAGTAGTTCAGTGGTTATTGTTGATTTCATATTTGTTCTGAACGAATTTTGTTTCATACCTGTAGATGACTAAACAATGCAGTTATTTGAACCTATATGACTACTAGAAGTTTGAACGGATTCTCGGTCAAGATGTAATAATTGTCAGTTGTTCAACCCTATGTATAGTGATTTACTAAAGGTCTGCAGCACATTTAACACAATAATAGATACAACACTACAACTGAAAAAAATTCAACTCTTGACCATCCAATAATCAAATGTTTCGCCCACATTTAAGTATACTAATAGCTTCGTTCACTAAAAAAAAACAAATTGTTATTATGAATCGATTCGAACGTGACAAAATAAATGTCACACTCATTGTTTATCAGTCAGCCTCACTACACAGCGTACAAGGACGTGTGCATTGTCACTATGTACAACAGTAAAATACTTTGTAAAATAAATAATCCATCTTGTTTCCAAGAAAAATCAGTGGATGTAGATTGGCCGATTCAATCAACTTAACTAAATTTTTATTAATTTTGATGTCATGTTGGTATTGTGTGTATACGTCTAGTAAAATTAAAATATTAAATAAAAATTGTTGTAATCTGTGATTTCATCCACATGTGAGGAATAAAATAAATATTTGACTACAATAGTATTTCTAGTATACTCTATGATTTACTAAGGTTTACTTTCGGACAAAAAACTTTTCCTGTAAAATATTTGTCTAGCATTATATTTTCGTATAAATTATTTTTTGACTAAAATACTTTTCTAGTCAAATATTTTTCTGCTCGAATAATTTTCGTAAATATATTTCCTGTCGAATTATCTTTCAACAAATTACTTGTATTTCTAGTATATGGTTTACTTCACCATTACTACTCAGACTTTCAGCGTCATCTACCAATAATTTTGAATACTAACGTTTTTCGCAACTATTATAAGAAATAATATAATACTGATAATCTTTATATAAATAAAACGTATAAAAGAAAAATATATTATAATATAAGATATAGGTTCATTAATAGTTAGGTACTATCGTCTGTCAGTAGTATTTTCGTAAAAAAAAAAAACTATAATATATACGCTGATTTATGAATTTAAGGAATGAATATTGAGATTTTATCAGGGTCATAGACCGCACCAATGAAACTTATTTTTGTATACTAGGTACACTATTTGCGAAAGAGTAGCCCGTTTGCGAACTATTTAATATTTTTCTAAACGGCCGGTTGTTTTCAAACTTATTACAAACAGACCAACAGCAGTTACCTAAGCATTTTAGAAAATACAATTATAATATTAGGTAAGTACCACGGAATAAGATATCTTAAATTGTGGTAAGTATTCAGACTATAAATTACTGAAGTATATTAGTATACTATTATTGACGAGAAATTTAAAATTAATTTAGATACTTACGGACAGTGTTAAATCCAGGTACATGACAGGGAGGCGATAACCCCCCTGGAATTGTGTTTGCCCCTGTGAAATGTGAGTAAATTAATAAATAAACCAAATTTGACTGGTCTTAGTAAGAGGGTAGACAAGTAATAAAAAAAAGGCATTCTATAATTTTAGTAATGCCCCTCCCCCCCAGAAAAACTGTTTGGATTAAATACTGCCTACGGATTGTAAACATTTGGTTAATTTTATTATGGTTGACAACCATGGACAGCTAAAAATGTACAATGTCCGATGCTGTTTCTGAAATAGCAACTGCTAAAATACCAGGAACAAAAAAAAAGTAAGCTATACAGATTAATTTAAAAATATGACATTCGGAAATGAGAGATTTAAAATGTTTAGTGGAAAAAAAATAAAAAATCTCGATAAGCCAATTATTTAATTGGTAGATACCACACGAAAATTGTTTTAAAATTTAAAGTACAATTCACGGAGACCGTGATAAAATAATGTATTAACAATACTTTAAAAGACAAAATGTATTATATTCCGAAACCTGTTCTAATATTTTGTGAGTTGTTTATTAATGCTTGTAATTTAAAAAATCTCAATAACACAAAAATATCGTTGTAAAACCTATTCAAAGATTTTAATGTTCTTGGGCAAGTTAACTCGATTGATTTTCAGTCTACACCAAGTGGTATATTTAGTTTTTTTAAATGGCTCTTGAACTACCTACCAAGATCACACTACAAAGTATTCACATTTACGTCCCGTATAATCAAAAAGAGCATCAGAAATAGCACTGGAGACTGCTTAAGATATGTTCTGCAATTTGGAGCTCCTAAAATTGTACAGAGTGATAACGGTCGAGAGTTTACGGAAACTTGTAGAGTAAATTGCAAGTTTGTGGCTAATTTGTAAAAATACTAAAATACTTAGTACAGATACGCACATATACTATCATACACTTTAAAATTCAAAAAAACCATATACGTAAGTAAACAATTTACAAATTAAGCAATCCATATACTGTATAATTATTATAATTATTTATTACACAACAATGCAATTAAACGGTACGAGTTTAGGGTACTTTTTTGATTTTCCCACCGGTTTTCATAATTGGGAAAAAACATTGGGGATAAATAGACAAATATTTACAAATTTAATGATTTTACATTTTTGAAATCTTTTACTAGAAATTTTAATTCAATGAAAAATAAAAAGATATCTTTGCATTTAATTTTTCAAGGAGAAAATCATTTTTTTGATTTTCCTAGTAGTTTTCATAATAATCGGGAAAAACGAAAAAAAGATGAAAAATGTATAGCTTACGATTTCATTATTTTAGATTCTGACATTGGCAGTTTTTAGGGGGGGGGGGCGATAGGGGCGACCGCCACCCTGGACCTTTTTTTTTTTTTTTTCTTGTTATGTAGTTTTGTACATAAGCAATGATAAACGGTGTATTGAATTCGTTAGATTCACGATACACCATGTAACGATAGTGATGCTTTATCAACAATATATAATAGAATTTAACAGGTTTATTAAGTTGTAGTCGGTGGTTAACAAGAAAAAGTTGAGTTTAATGTACTATATTTTTTTCTATATAAGAACTTTATTATCAAATTTGTATGAAAATCGTAAATATTTCAGCCTTTAAACATGTATAACCTAATTTTGCTCAGAATCGTTTTTTGTTAGCAAAGATTCATCGTTGTGTATAGATATACATTAAATTTCCCTTTATAATATTTTACTTTCCCAACTTCTCATCTTCTATGGTGGCCCACGAAAATATACCCATTGTAATATCTTCGGAGGTAATTAAATTCTGTTTCTTTTTTTTACATTTCTCACTGGGATAAGGATTACAAATATTTACATTGCAATTAATTTACTATGCTTTAATAAAAAAATAAAAAAATAACTTTATTATTTTTGAAAAATTGTATAGAATTTATTCTTCTGAAAATGTCGACACATTAACTTTTATTTTCATTAAATTCGTGATTTTCAAAAAAAAATTTAAGTTCAAAGAAAAGTAACTACAATTATGCAGCAGGCCGTAATCACATCCTCTAAAAGATTATTGTTATGATAATTTGATTGTTTATTTTTCTTTGAACTTTAAAAAATTATTAAAGATCACAAATTCAATGAAAATATATACTAGTTAACACATCAAAATTTTTAGAAAAATAAACTATAAAATCTTCAAATTGTTTTTTATCAAATCATAACAAATTAATTACAATATAAATATTTGTAGTCCTTACCCCAGTGAATAATTAAAAACAAATTAGAATTTGATTACCTCCGGAGATATGATAATGGGTATATCTTCATGGGACACCTATATGCAAAATTTAACAATAAAAATAGGACGAGTATGCTTAATGAATCACTCTATATAGCACTTGCATGTTTTGCAATAAATTGTAAGATATAAGGTATAGGGAGTGTATTAAGATATGATTGTTTATCATGATACAATAATATTGTTGAAATAAAAAAAAATAGGTACTTATCATTAAATAATACACACTATAGAGTTAAAGTAATTTAGAAGTATGTAAATTTAAAACGAAAATTTCTTTCATAACAATATTTTTGGCTGATGGGTGTGTGGTGTTTATACAGTTTATCTATTAAGAGGATGCTATACAGACAATATAGAAAAATCTACATAATGCAGCTGCGTAGAACTCGTTTAATTTTGGTTTTAGAGTAAAAGTACCTATGATAAAATTAAAAAAGGTCATTATATAGTCATTGCCCTCTTTTAATTTTATAATAGGTGCTTTTACTATAAATCCAAAATTAAGTGAGTTCTACGCATTCTGCTTAAAAAGTATCATATAGTGTTTCAATGGTCAACACAGTGCTTTCCAACAAAGGATTATGAGTTTGAATTAGACTTTTTGTTACAATATTTTTGCTCTTGCCTACTCAATATGGGTTTACTAACAAATTGTTGTTTATTTTACATTAATAAGTCCGATACAGGTTTGCACTCCAGTTGACAAACATTTATCAGCCAAAAACATTGTTACATGGAAACTTCTGATTTAAAAAGGTTTACAGAATATTGATACTAATTATATTGCACATAGCATATAGTAATGTATTTATAGATACACCATACACATTTGGATGTCATATATTGCATATTGAAAGACAACTTCATAAAAAAAATATTAATATATAGTTGAATCATAAATTTACTTTAACTACTTCACTGATATTTTTTCGGAAATTTTATCCCAATAAATGAATTCTCATTCTAATTTTGATTTTAAATCTCAGAACAAAGATTTCTTCTTGTTTAATAATACATATTTTGGTGACTTAGTATTTATCAATAATATTTTCCAAACTTCCAAGTTTTTATTATTTCTGTCACTAATCCGAATTTTCTCAATAAATTGAGAAGGATGTTCTCTATTACTTTTGCCTTGCACTTTTCTTGGATAATAATTTTTTAAGACCATTTCTTCTTACAATTTCATCAAAAATGTTAAGAACATAAATGTATTCAATTCATAATGGTGTTCTTCAAGGTTCATAGTTTGTAGTTTTTGTTAGATCAACTAACATTTTATCATAAATCTTTAAATTATTTTTAAATTTATATTGAAGTTCTATTATGTACCTAAGGCATATTCATTGATCTAAAATGTAAGTGTTTATTTCAAACACAAAATATATACAATGCATTTTATAATTTTTTTGTTTCAAATCATCCTCCTGAATATTTAAAAAAAACATGTTTATTAATTACTAATATCTTTATTAATTGATTCTTTCAATTAATATACCATTAAAAAAATATTTAATTTTTACTCTTTAGTTGAAATTATATTATCTGTTTTTTTAAAAACAATGATTTGTTACACATTCTTAAATTAATTTGAACTACTGAATATAATATTTGAAAGCATAATAATAAAATAATGAATATAATAATGAAAATATATGATAAGCGATATATAATAGTAAATTTTAAATAGAGAATGATCAATTGAAAGTTATGATATTCTACTTATACATTTTTTTTTTCTTAAGTAAAACTACTGAACTTTTTCAACTTATTTTTTTTTATTATTATTCTTTTTTGTTTGTTGCTTGTGTAAAGCCTCTTGACTTTGAGGTCTTAAACTTATCATACATGGTAGGTGCTGTGCATATGAAGGGTTCATATTTGTTTGGTTTAAAAAATTATTATGGTAAGGTGGAATAAAATTTGGTTGCTGTCCTCTATTCAAAATGTTTTCATACATCCTTTGAGTAAATTGATTTATTTCAGCTTGCGTTTGAATATTTGCAATGTTGTCTGGGAGAAATGGAGTAGGATTAAAATATGTTGGAGTTCTAGACTTACCTTCAACAGTATTCAACAATTTTTCCATTTTATATTTCTTTTCATCTAAATCATTTGTATTTGACTGGTGAGGTTTATTTTGAACATTTTTCGGAGGATTTTTATTTTTTGGGTTTGCATTTTTCTTATTTGATGTTTTGTTTGATTCAGTCTGGTTATTTAATACTTTTGAATCAGTAGTTTTACATGTTTTTGGTTTATGATTTTCTTTTTTGCTAACACTCTCATGATCTGAAGAATCATTCTCACTCTTTTGTGTTTTAATAGTACCTTTAGTTCTATCAGATGAATTGACAATTAATTTTGTTTTCATTGATGGATCAACGTCTTTTATGTTTAAGTTATATGTTTCCATGATTTGAGCTAGAATTTTATAATAAAACAACATATCCTCAGACGTAGTGCCACTTGCATTTGTAGCTAATCTAATTTCATTACAAATTAGCTCAGCTAAATTAAACTTTTTTGTGCCAAAAGATGAAAAATGTTGCTGAAACAAAAGAAAAAAATAATATATGAAAATTAATATGAACTTTGAAAGTAGATATTATTAATACTTTAGATAATTAGGTAATAATTTGGTTGTTTAATAAAATTATTATTTAAAAAATTTAGATATTTGAAAAAATATTAAGAGGACGTTATAACCACATCTACTGTTTAAATCCTATTACTGTGTAATATGCAAAAACAATGCTTATACAGAATAAGTAAACTAGCTTAATTTTGACTTTAGAGTAAAAGTACTTTTTTCGAAATTTATAAAGAAAAATATTTTGGAGGGAATGCCAAGTGTTTTTTGAATTATGAACTATTAAAAAAGAAAAAATTAAGATTTTTGTACCTTTTATATCGAGCTATATATTTTGAACAATACAAAAACCCTATAACATTCCCAACAAAATATTTTTTTTTATAAATTTCATAATAGGTATTTTAACTCTAAAATAAAAATTAAGCTAGTTTTACTTATTCAGTGAAAGCATTGTTTTAACATGTTACCCTGTAGTTGGACTGAGCCAGTACATGCAGGTATAACGTACTCTTAAGACAATTTAAAATAATAACAATCAATTAATCAACTATTATTAAAACGAAGCAAGTGCAATAATTTTTGAACCAAAAACAAACAAGACATTAAATACATTTTAAGTTAAATAGAAAATGTAAACATATATTTTTGCTATTAAATACATACCGTAATTAAAAAATTATTCACCATTCCTGGTTTTTCAGATAACCAAATAAACTGTTCAATGCCATTTTTTAAATTCTTTGCAAATAATATGTTATAAGAACAAAACTGAGCCATAAGTTTACATTGATCCATTCCATTATATTTTGTAGTCAAATTATTAAAATGAGGAATAAGATCTTCACCGTTTTTATGTTTCATTACTAAAATGCTTAAATCTTCTTTTAATTTTGATATTTTATTTCTTAATTGTGGTTGGTGTGGTTTCTTTACAGATTGTATTTTTTTTTTCTTATAAGACTAAAATGTTTAAATAAATTTAAATGACTAATAAAATAAAATGTTAAGTATTAAACAAATGTTTTACTATGTTTTGATATATTTGAATTGTTTTTTCAACAGCTTCCAAAACAGCTTTATCATTTGGTGCCATATTCAAAGCTTTTGTTAAATATTGTTTTCCCAAATTAAAATCACGTACCATAAATGGGAGAGTCATTATAGTTTTAGCACAATTAACTAATAAAAGAGGGTCTTTTGGCTCCATACTTATTATAGTTCTAAAATTATAATACAGTAATATTAAAAATGCTTTTATTAAACAAAATAGTTTTCTGAAAATTTGTAATGTAATTTCATAAGCATAGGGGTTTTGAAAACTAATTTATTAATTACAATTATTTTGTATTTGTAATTGATTAAATATTATGGAAAACATGTTTTATTTGTTTTTAATTTCATGTACCAAAAACATCAAATACATTTTAATATAGTTTAGAGGACGTTATATTGGCATCTAAAGTTTCAGTTCAACTACCGGGTAACCTGCAAAAACAATACTTACGCAGAATAATTAAAACTAGCTCAATTTTGACTTTAGAGTAAAAGTACTTAGTATGAAATGTATAGAGAACAATATTTTGGAGGGAATATCAAAGGTGTTTTTTGAATTATGAACTATTAAAAAGTTTAAATAAAAGTTTTTTTATCTTATATATTGAGCTGTACATTTTGAATAATACAAAAACCCTGACATATCCTAATAAAATATATACTTTTATTCTAAAGTCAAAATTAAGCTAGTTTTGCTTATTCCGCATAAGCATTGTTTTTGCATGTTACCCAGTAGTTGGACTGAGACAGTAGATGCGGGTGTAACATTCTCTTAAATACTTAACTGATGTTCCAATATAAAAATTAATACTAAAGAAAACTAAAATAAAATAAATTACTTAATTCAAAATTTAAAGCTTATATAAATTAATTTTACATACTTGATCATTTGAACAAGAGTTTGGTTGTCTTGGACAAATTTTTGATACACCAATGGGTCGTTTTTGTTTTTTTTATCATAATAATCATTTATCATAGTATCTTTGTCTAATCTCATTCTTTGGTAATTATAAAGTGTATTTTTCCCATCAGACAATACAATTGCTTGCTGAATTGCATTTATTTCATTTTCTGTTGGCTTTGATTTACAAGTTTGAAAATACTGCCTTTGAGCAGTCAATGTAATTGAAAATATATAAAACCAATAGGAAGTGTTAGGATCTAAATCACACGCTTTTTTTGCATAATAAGAAGCTTTTTTTAAAAAAGTAGGATTTCTATAATATTCATTTAATACAGCTGAATGTACTGCATATACAGCAGCTCTTGATTTAGGATCCATATTGGCAAAAGAAGTAATACTTTCTAATAGCTAAAAAAAAATTATACTTTATAGGTATTAAATATTAGCATCAAGGTTATATGTTACCTAGTACCTACATATGGTTAATCAATTAATGCAATATCTACCTAAAACATTACTTCTAGGTATTTTCCCATTTGTTAATTATATTATTAAAAATGTCTAATATCTAACATAGAACCATATATAAATCATAGCAGTCTTAATGAATTCATAATACCTTATAGCCAAACTCTAAGCCAATGGTAATTAATGGCAATTGATTTAAGTTAAACATGGAATACATTTTTGAGGTTCTAAAACTTGATCAAAATTGTATTCACATACAAGCCTGTATTAAGAGATATCAAAATAATTGGCATTGAAATACTAAATAAATTATAAAAAAGTATAAACCAATAGAAAAAAAATATATATTGATGAAAAAATTAATTTTAGTAATTATAAAGTAGCAAGTACAAGTTGTAGAATAAATGTTGATTATAAAATATAACATATGTGATATGACACTAGTACATATATAATTAAATAGTGAATGAATAAATTATAGCTTACCCAGTTACATTCTCCAGTTAGATTTGTAGCAAATAACATATGAATAAAAGTACCTGTCATGACATGTTTAAGGCCAACATTAATAGATAAATAAAATTCATCAACTTTATCAAGTTTATCTAATTCTTCAAGCCATTTCCCAATTTCTAATATTTTCATTTGGCCAAGTTCAGTTTTATCCATATGAAACATTTCATAGGCAATTATTAAATTACCTACAAACCTAACCATACAAATTAAAACCAATTATTTCAAAACATATTGGCATGTTAGGAACATAATTGTATAAATTATAAATTAATTGTATGCATTCAAATTGTTAATAAAAAAATTATCTACCTTTTAAATGTGAATTCAGGTAAGGAAATATCCAAATTGTATTCACCATATTTATTTTGTATCATTAAAATCATATTTTGTCCATTATTTGGTTTTAAATTCCACGTAAACAAACATTGTAAACTATTAATACGGTTAACAGTCTTTTTTTTATTAGAATCCATATCTTGTGTTGTTTTAGTGTTTTCCCCAATAGAACTAATTTCACTTTTAGAATCATCAAAATTATCGACTGAACCAATATCAATCCAATCATCATGAATATTAGTATCAGTGATAGACATCACTTCAATAGCATCAATAATGTCATGTTGATTTGTGGAGTAACTATTTTCATTATGTGAATTTTCCAATATTTTATTCAATCCAATAAGTTTGGATTCAATTTCTTTTCTATAAGTATTGTTTGCAATTTGACATTTTGATCCATCATTTTTTTTTTTATTATTGATGAAAAGTGATTTAAACATTGTAGTAAACATTTTGAATGCCAATAAATCCTATTTAAAATATTTTTTAAGTATATGCCACATCTAAAACATCTTGGGAGAATAAAATAAATGAACATCCTGTATCAAAAATATTGTGTAATTTTTATTTTAACTTACTGCAAAACAGAAAAATTAACAGCTCTGTTAAATGAAATTCTTCAAATATGGATATTATTTTCCATAATCATCAAAATTAATTAATAAGCTATCTCAATGTTTTTTCCAACTGGTTGAACAATTCTAAATTTCTAAATAATCGTAGACACTGAAAATTAAACGGTGAATTTTAATATAAGAGTTTCTTACAATAATTGAATGACATTAGTATCTATATCTAACAATCAAATAGATAGGTACATAAATCAATCTATATTATAAATTAATTATAATATGTTCAAATAATGTGTAAAAGGAAAGAATATTTATCAAAAATATCAAAAAGGAAAAGAAATGAATAATATTGTACTGTGATACCTTAAGCAAAGTGAGATCTTAGAAGTTAGAGGTGAACTTAACGTAAATTATTCTTCGTTAATAATTATTATTAAGTAAACAAAAAATTCTGAAGTTTTAGAATTAAGATAAAAAAAATGAAGTGGATATGCCAGCGAATACTTATGAAAATATATAGCCATATACTATACCAGAAACCAGTTTCTTTGGTTCAACCTTATACAGTTATACCACGGTGGAATGAAGGTGAGTAGTGCGATTTCTAATAGTGGCACACTGTGTCTTGTTGGCGGCATTCCTTGCGGCCAAAAGCATGATAAATTGACAAGTGACAACTATAATTATAATTCTTGCATGACAACCACGAATTATCATAGATAATCTTTGAATAATATATACTTTATGAATATATTATAATAATCACGATTTAAGATAATATGGTCACAGGCTTACAGACACTTTAGTACCCAATTAACAAAAAAATTGTAAATAAATTCTTCGTTGGATAAAAATTACGTATTAATATTTACAGCAAAATATAATTTGCTTACCATTTAAAATTACTTCTCCAACACTTCGAGAGCTAAACGTACACTTTACATAGTTAAATACGCTTAGTGATGGCAATTTAACAATGCCTAAATAGCCAATATTTTAAGTACAAGCAATGGACACAATAATTTTGATGTCAGTAAGAATATTAAGACAAAAAGTACATCATAAGCAAGGTATGAATTTGGCTACAGGAAGTGAGATGATGTGGAATTGAGAAAAGTGAGTGGTTTATTGCCCTATGAGAGGAGATAAGGAAGGAATTAGAAGATGGTTAAAATTTCAAATTTCAACCTACAAGGCTGATGTTTAATAACAGCCTACTATTTTCACACAAATTAACAACACTTGTTTAGAAAAAAATTAACGGTACCACTGACCAATTAACTAATATTTAAATCCTTTTCATCTCCTTACATTATTTATCAAGATGATCCATAAAGAGAAAGATAGATATGAATAGTGCCAAATTAAGCTAAACTGCTCTACAAATATAATTCGAAAATTAGACGTCTATATTTTTCAATTATAAATTATATAAATGATGAACTAAATATTTATTAAGTTCCTTTAAATATTAAAACACCTATATAAATATTTATGTACAGATTTGCATTATTTTATTTGTAATAAAACTAAAATAAATGTCTGTTCAATTGCATTCTTTGGACTTGTAACAGGAATATAAAATAATAGGATATTGGGATTTTTATGATACAGTGTAATGAAAAAGGATTACTTTCAGTTAGTAAAAATTCTCAAATTGTTTCAAGTCATACCTTAATTGATATTAATTTTTTGACTGATGGTTAAGTATTAAATACATAATTTGAAAAAAAATGTCGTAGATTCCCAATCGTTTTTCTAATTAAAATTAACAATAAATGCAAATATTTTAGGGTTATTTTGTTTACAAGGGGAAAAATTTACCCCCTTTGAAGTGATGCATTATTTTTATTGTAGGATATGAGTGGATATATGGTGTTGCCGTTTAAATATTGAGTTTGCAATGGTAAATCATTGAAAACAAAAAACAATTCGGAGTGTAGCTTAAATATTTTCTTCTAAATAAATCTTCTACAAACTTTGAATAGCTATAACACTATAACTATATAAATAATACTATGTCAGCGTCCAAACACACCTTTTTTTTTTTAAAACAATTTTAAGCATAAAAAACCGTTAAAAATGTGTGTAGACTGCATACTGAATTAGAAACGTAGCACTGAAAATTGTAATATTGGTATAACAACATAAATTTCTACAACATAATTGTATAACTGAAATTAATTAATTTTATTAAAACTTTAGCAAAATACTATATTTAGGGGGTATATTATAGATAATAAATAAAATAAAATCAAGTATACAAATAATAAAAAACAACTTTTACTACTTAATAATAACTTAAATAGTATAACATCATACATAAATAAATTAACAAACATAAAATAACAATTTGTAATTAGGAAGTATGGGAGCAGAAACAATAAATATTATGTGTCTACTCAAGTTCATAATAGTACAGTACAGTACAGTTAATATTTTTGTTGATCAGTGAACATCAGTATGCTAAAACTAAAACTAAAACACAACAGTTAAAACTATTTATAAACTTATATTATAACTATATTGTTAGAGATATCAACCAATTTTTAAAGGAATAAGTAACAAATCAATTACGATACTACACATTGATATAACTAATACTTGTTCAACCTTTCAATTAGAAAGTAATGCAATATTTTTCAAGTTAAATTTAAGCAAAATCTTATGAACAAAAAAGTCCAAATGAAGTTTAGCTATATTTAAAGTGAAATCCAAGTATCTTTGTTTAATTATAATAAATCTAATATATAACAATATATTACCTATAAATAAATATTATATTATTTAATATGTGTATATATATATATATATAAATATACTATAAAATCAAGGATTATATTAATTATTATTCATTTAATATTGATATATTCAATAAATAATAGATAAAAGTAAAATTATTGGTATTCTATACACATAGACAGATTAAGTGTTGCACTAGTCTGCTGTAATAGAATAGTACTAATTAGGTATTTATTGTGTGATCAATACCCAAACTAACAAATTTAATTTAATATGAAAAATATTACAGCACTATTTTATTAAATTAACATGTTAATTAACTTGTTTTTATGCAAATTTTGCTTTCAAGTTTTCTAATTATCAACTAAAAATAATTAGATTTAATTAAAATTTCTAGTATAATTTTATATAATATCAATAATATAATAATAATAATAGAATTAAATATTCTATACTATAATATTATGTTTCATAAAACATAATCAGTGAATATTATAATATATATATTGAATAAACTATGTTTGATTATAAAGAAAACAAGATATAATAACTTAACTGTATACTTATTAATACATATTGAATACATTACACATTAATTAAAAATTAATTTCTCTAAAAAAACTCTAAAACTTTATGGTTTAATTAAATTGATTTAATTTGCATAATTATGTTTATTTTAATTTTGTTTGTACAAAGGAATTATGAGAATAAGTTATTGCATTAGGTGACGTAGCAACTATTCTTGCAAGTCTATCAGCTATCTCATTACCTTCAATAGAATTATGACTTGGAACCCAAATAAAATTTATTTTATTTCCTTTTAATCGGTTTGCATAAATCAAGTGCAAGATGCTATTAATTACATCAGAGGATATATTTTCATTTTGAATACAAGTTAAGATACTCAAGGAATCAGTAAGAATTAAATAGTCAAAGTAATTTTGAGCTAGTGCATAATCAAGAGCCAATAGTATAGCTACTGCTTCAGCATCACACGAAGTATACTCTGGTAATAGTTTGTATGTATATGTATCCTTATCAGATACCATGGCAATACCAACATTATTTTGTATCTTTGATGCATCAGTATATATTTTAAAACTATAAGGATAATTTAGTAATATACATTTGAGAGACAATTTGTAAGTATTCTGAGAAGTTGACAATCTTGGTAGTTTTGATAGACTTGTATCAATTTTCATTGAACCCATATTAATGGAATTCAAATTTGCATTGATTTTGGATTGGAAGAGTAAGTCCAATTTTAAATCTAATAATGGTGGTAATAGTATTGACGTAGAAAAATGATTGGCATGTAAAAAGTTAAAATGCACAAAATTTTGATTAAAATATCTATTGTGATTTTGAATAGTTATGTTTTGTAAATTATTTTGTTGCAGAAAGTTAAACATTTCTGTTTGCATTTGAAGAGATCTAACATGTCCAGCCAACCCCGGATAAGACTTATTAGAACATACATTATCAAAAAGAATGATACTTGATATAAAAAAATCCATAAAGTACTTTTCATTTAATTTCATTTCATTTTTCATTTCAATTTCACTTTTTAAAACACTTTCTGAGTTAAGATATTTTTCAGGAGTATCATTCTTTTGATCTAGTTTGGATCCATTGGTAAATAATCTAGGAGTTGTATTTTCCAAATGTTTTTTCTTTCGCTTACGAGTTCTATTTTTCCGTTTAATTATTATATCTTCACTTTTATCAATATCACTCTCATTATTTGTTTTATTAAATTCATCTTGATATGAAGCATTTGAACATGTAGATATACTTGATGAAACACTCTCATCAATTGATAAATTTGTTTTATCTTTACTCATAGCACTTGTAGATGAACATTTAGATATAGATGTATTGCTGATTTTGGTAGTTTTCAACAATGGAATTTCAACTTTCATTTTTGAAATATACACTTCCTCAATCTTTAAAAATATTTTGAAAAAAAATAATAAATCTTCAATAGCGCTACTTGAGTTTTTTGTAGCAAAACTGATTTCACTACGAACAAGTTCTGATAAATTAAATGGCTTTGGATTGTTCATGAAGAGTGATTTATGACGCTAAAACAAACAAATCACCATTGTATTTTATAACTTCTACAATTTAGAAAATCACAGAAAAACATAACAATTGACGTCTTAACAAGAGAATGTAAATTTACTAAATTTTGAACTAAAATAAAAGAGTCTAAAAATCTTAGTCATAGGATGAATTATTTTTGTATAATATTAATGTATACTAAAACATTATCAATATCATTTATATAACTATATAACTAGATAATGATTGGGATCAAATTGCTTGCCAAATTTCAAGAATTGATCGAAAGAATAATGAATAAAGAACAATAAAGTGTTTTCAGAATAGTAATATATTTAAATGTTGTTATTTATTTTGATGAAACCAAAGATTTTTTAACATTTGTTAAGGATGAATTCACGATGTAATTTAAATGAGATTAGAACTGAAATGAGCACCAAAGTATTTAATTAAAAAACACTACTTAAGGGAACACTTAAGGAATAAAAACTTAAGGTTCAGCGAAAATCTAAAAGTAATAGGATTTTTACAGCAATTAAAAGAAACAATTTTGCATTTATCTATATTTAACTAAAATAAGACGTCCTAGGAAAATGGACAAGGGTACAACCACTGTTATAGGTAATTTAATGTATATCTATAAGCAACGATAAATCATTGCTTCCAAAAAATCAATTCTGAGCACAGTTCAGTTGATAGTGATGATTGGTTAACAATATATCAATATATATCATATTGGTAAAACAATTAAATATGTATTATTATAATTTTTTTTAACAATATTTATTTAATGTATCGATTTTCCCATGTTTTTTCCCGGTTTTTCATATTTGATGGGAAAACTCTTGGTAAAATCGAAAAATAACCTCCCCGGTCAAATTTTGTTTTAGAAAAAGTGCCATTATTGTAAATCGGATCAAAATTTCTAGTAGAAAAGTTGTCTACAGAAAAAAAAAAATTGTAATATTTTACTTATGTATTTTATACATTACCCTTTTTTACTCTGTTTCACGATTTTTCATATATATCGGAAAAATAAAAAAATGACTTCTACAAGTTACCATGGAAATAAAATTTTTTTTCAGACTCTATATTTGATAAATCGGAGCAAGATTTTCAGTAGAAACGTTTGCACAACAAATCGAGTGGTATTTTGTGATTAAAATAGTACGAGCGAGCAATGGCTTGAGTCTTTTAGTACACCCTACATTTTTTTTTTCGAATCACGAATTTGAACTCGCAAACACTAGAACGAAAATAGGCATTTACAACCATTCAGCTACGACAAACATACTTTAGAGGAAACAATATTTAGTTTTTTAATATAACATATAATATCTGCATAATATTAGAATTTCAAAAAGCTATAATTTCGAAACTAAGTCAGTCCGCTTAATTCTGACTTCATCATCATTCTTAAATAGAAATATACATATGTTAAAAAAAAAAAAAATTAAAAAATTAAATTTGTTCCACATTATTTTTTACTCGACGATTTTCAATAAACTTTGATATTAAAATTTATTTATTAAACTAAATACTACATTAAACTATAATTTTCTCTTTTTAACCACAAAGCAACAAAACTCTTAATGAGGGTCCTGTTAAATGTTCAAGCATTTCTGTCAAGTCTAACAATTTTACCACAGAGTACTTACTGAATACAAATTATGTACAAAATTCTCAAAATTAAAATAACTATAAATAGCTCAAAAGGCAAATATAAATTTTCTGTCTAAACATATAGTCTCTACGTAATTCAACTGAATTACAATAAATAACAAAAATATTTTTTTTTTTTTTTTTTTTAACGTATTATCCTGGTTTTTCCCAGATATTATGAAAACTGCTTGGAAAATCAAAAAATCATTTTTCAGTAGTACCATCTGGATAACATTCCCTTTCAGAAATGGTGTGATGCGTACATATATGAGCAAGATTTCTGGTAGAATTTTTGTAAACAATATATATATGTATAAAAAAAATATAAATAAACATCTAAGTAAAACCAATACATTCTTCGCTACACTCAGAATCTAAAGTAGCCAAAGTTATATTGCAAATTGAGTGAATCATTAATCTAATTAATTTAAGTTTATAATTTAGCATCATTAGCAAAAAGTAATACTTTAACATTATTACTAAAAGTATGTGGTGATTAATTAAGAAGTAAATATGATGCAATCCAAATCCAAAATGTACTGCAAATTCCAAAAGATTTTTTAATTTATGTAAAAGTAAAATGAAATCTCCTTGCCGGCCATTTCCAAATAATTTTATAAGATCAGATTGATATATTATGAAATTTGTCGAAATAGAGTGCTTAGTTAAAAACGCATATTGAGAATAGCTAATAAAATTTGAAAATAATTTTGTTAACTTTTTTTATGATAGTTGCTTCAAATATTTTTGGTATTAAAAAAAAATTTGATATAGATAACGAAAGTATACGAGGAAATGAGAGTAGATAAAGTAAAAATGACATTTTATGACATAGAACCCTTAAAGAAAAAAAAATATAAAATTTCAATACTTATGTACAAAAATTATTAATAATGCAATAATGAATTGACAACTGAAGAATTTTTAAATTATATAAGTCTTTATTTGATAAAACAAAGCTTATTTGAAATTATAAGTATTATAATTATTGTAGTATTATTGTTTGAATTGACTATTTTAGATTTAGATTTAGAGCATAGTGAATATTAGTTTTACAATGGTGTTAATTTCTTCTTTCTTTTTTTCTATGAACATTTCTACCAGAAATTTTCATCTGTATAGCACCTATTCTGATAGAACATTATATCTATTTGGTAATTGAGGAAGGCTATGTTTTGATTTTTCTAAGGGTTTTCATAATAAATGAGAAAAAACGGGAAAATGTTAGAAATGAATTATTTTCAAATTGTAAATATTAAGGTTTTTCAAAACGTGTATAACCAAACTTCGCTTAAAATCGTTTTTCATTAAAATGTTTAGTTATTGCGTACAGATAAATATTAAATTTTTTTTTACCTTCCCAACTTCAACAGTGGTCAACCCATTGTGCGAAAAGTAAATTCATACCTTTTTTTTAATTTATGTTTTCTCCTAGAAATTTTACTTCAATCAAACAATGACAAGTTATTTAATAACTTATTATAATTTTAATATAAAAACATTTTGTTGAATTTTACTTTAATTGAGAAAAACTCGAAAATGTCAAAGTATGAAATTGATAAATTTATGACACTAGGATTTTTTTAATGTTATTTCGGCATATGTTTTCTACCATAAATATTGGTACAATAGAAAAACAACAAAAGATCTTTCTTTTGAAAACATTTTTTATATAATTGGTGATTAAGGGTCCTTTATTGATTATCTGTGATATTCTTTTACAACAACCAAGCAAAATCGAAAAAAAAAAAACGTAGAAAAAACTAGAAAACTTAAGAAAATAAATGCTTTTATTATTTTAATTTGTTTTTTTTTTTAATAATTCAATTAAAAATATTTGTAGAAAATTGAAATTTGAACAATCAACTTATATTTGTCTTTTCTAAACATGGTAAAATTTTAAAAAGCATTTGAGGTATTTATAAACATTTAAATTTTGAGTTATATTTTATTTGAAAGTTACTTTGTCAACAAAAATGATTAAACCAAACAGAAATGCATAAATGTACCAGGAGGTTCATTATAAGTTGGACTTTTCGTTAGGATTCATATGAGTATCCTTAGGCGGCATTGGTATAAAAGGTGCATTTAAATTTATGAATCTATGCACAACTATAACAGAGATAAGAACAATACACTTTAAGGGGTTATAAAAAGTCAAAAAATATTTAAATCAACCACAATATCGTAACCACGATCCACCAGTAAAATCAACCAGTATCAACCACAGTAAAAACATTTTTTTTTTTATAAAAAGAAATTAAAAAGTTGATAACCTGTAGTTCCTCTTAAAATACTGCTGGTTGTAATATTTATAGCTAAAACTGTTTTATAGCATCCCTCCCTTATTTTCACTAGAATTGGATATCAAATGTCTATATAATAAGTAAGAAAACGTAGAATTTAAAAAAATAATTACCTTGAGTTCCCTTGGAGACATTTTTCGATCTTCAATTAAACTTAAGAACTGTTCAACACCATCTCTAAAGTTATTATTGAACAACATGGTGTAAGAACAAATCTGAGCCCAAATCGTCCATCTATTATACTTATATTTTGAAACTAAAACAGTTAAATAAGGAGCCACATCTTCACCATTTTTATATTTCTTAACTAATATCTTAATATCTTCTTTAAAATATGATTCTATAGATTCTTTATTCTAAAAAATTAAAACAAATATAAAATATTTAAACAAGAGAACTAAGAATTGGCTTGGATACCTGTAGTTTGAAAATTCATAATTTCATGAATGAAATATGAAATAATTTCAGTTGTAAGTGGATAATTAAATAAAGGTTCATTAAAAAGAGCTGAATGGTACAGATGAAGCTATTAAACTATAGTTGGTAAGTAAGTATATATAGAGTAATTATCTATATTATATATATATATATATATGCAACGATAAATCATTGCTAACAAAAAATGATATTGGGCCAAGCTCAGTTAACATATTTTAAGGTGCTTTGATTTAAAAGATTTTATCTTATGAAAAAAAAAAAAACGTGATGGTGAAAGTAGTATCAAATATTCGAATATTTTTGAGGAACTCAATAATTTTTATTTTATGAATCAAAATAAATAACATAAAAACTTAAATTTAAGTTCAAAACTCAATATTTTGTTTTGAAAATTTAACCACATCAAGAAAGATTGTTACTATTCAATGAAAATTGTAGGTCTAAATTAAGATTATTTGGAACTGAATTGAAAAAAAAATTGTAAAATAATTGTAAATAACAAAAAATAATAAAGCATAACATAACACAATATATTCATTTTGTCAGTTTAATAAAACAATGAAGCCCATAAAATATCAACTAGACGAATATTTGTCATCAAAAACAACCATGAAATTGATGATTGTAGTAAAATTAATAGTAGAAAAATAGTTTATACTTAAAAAAAATAAAGCTACGCTCAGAATCTAAAACGTGTTTACTTTATTAATTTGACCAGTGAAAAATAATCCACAATATAAAAAATGTATGATTTAAATTAATGTTAAATTTGTACTCCAATATTTATTAAATAAAAAACAAAAAAAATGTTCTTCTTTTAAATAGACAGAAAAATTATCAAAATATTAACCACTAAGAAGTTTTGAACGGGCTATTATACAGGTATTCAAGCCATTCCCAAGACACATAAGTGAGGGATAGGATCGGTTAGGTTGTCTTGTAGTGAATATTTATAATGCGTTTGAATGTTTAAGAGTTAGGAATATTAATATTATTATAATATTTCCAGAAATGTCTATGTTCAATAAAAAATGATTAAAATAAAAGGTAATAGAACTGTTTGATCCTATAGGGGACTTTTTGATCAGCTGTTTTCAAATGGTACATTAACCAAAGAAAATACTTGAATTTAAATTAATTAATTTACCATGCAATGTTCAGATATGAAAATGTTAAACAATTTTAATAATTTTCTTAGTTTTACAACACAGCTGATGTGTACTAACTTATAATTAGTCAAATACAACAACTAAAATAAGTAAATAAGCAAAATAACTTTAAGTAATTTTGAAGTTTCTAATTTGAACAGAATAATTTTAACATTGGATAATTTTATTCAAACACGTGATTTTTGGACAGAAACATAAATATATAAAATACAATATAATCTTACAATTTGTATTTTTAAAGCAGGTACATTATTTGATTCCATTTGAAATTCAGTCGCAAAAAATTGATTTAGAGCAGCTAACACAAGCGAATTAACATAACGAGTACTTTTTATACCTGAAGATGTTAATGCTTTTTGAAGTGTCAACCTTATTTCATTATCACCTGGATATAACTTGTTTGTGAGTAAAACCGATTTATCTGATGTACATTTACTTGAGTGCATAAAACGTCTTTGAGTAATTAAAACAAACAAATAAATATGGAACCAGTCAGAAATTTCAGGATCCAATATGCATGCCTCATTAGCATATTCACAAGCATTTTTAAAACAGTTAAGATGTTCATTATATTCAATTAATATAACAGCATGTATAGCATATATAGTAGCTTTTGCTTTATTATTCATGTCTTTAAACAAAACAATTTCTTCAAATAACTGAAAATAAAGATTTAAATAAATTGTAAAAAATTGTTTTAAAAGTAATTCAATAATAATTTAACTGCTGTAGAAAAAATATGTATAATTATTATTATTCTATAATATCTCATCCGACAATAAATAAATAGTTATTAAAACATATTTTCAGCAAGTGTTGTTCTAATATTATTGTGTCCCGGATTTTTTAAACTCAGATCTGGTTGTTTATTAATATTTGATTCTATTTAAAAATAAAATAGAAAGTTACTTGTTTAAATCCTCTGGTATCATTAGCAGCAAACTGCATATGTATAAAATTAGCCATTTTAATATGCTTCAATCCAATATTAATTGATAAGTAAAACTCATCAGTACCCTGGTCCAAATGCTCAAGCCATTTACCAATTTCTAAAATTTTCATGTCACTTGCATCCTTATCACCATTTACATATAATTCATAACTAATGATTAAACTTCCAATAAATCTAAATAAGAATAAAAATTATTCAACAGGAATTTAATTAAAAATAGATTAATATTTAAGGGCTTATTTTTATATTTGAAAAAAAATAACATTACTGTTAATTTTTATTAAAGCAATAGGTTATTCTATGTTTCTTTAAATAATATATTATTAAACGTGCTTTGTGTACTTCTAAAGTTCTAAATATTTATAAAACTAATTTTAATCTAACCTACTATACTAAAATGTTAAGCAATATAGGTAGTATAGGACAAAAAAAAAAAAAAAAATAAAGGTAAATTGAAGTAAATGTTTTTATTTTAATTTCTATTGGATAGACAAAGAAAATCTATATAATTTGACATAATAATTATATTATATTAATGTGAATAATATAATATTATGTAAGAAGATATGAATAGTGACAAGACAAAACTGGGCAAGTTAACGATTTTTTTCAACTCAATTAAGTTAAATTTAAATTTAAATAAAGTTAATTCAAAGTAATCTATCAAATCAACTAAATTGGAAGTAAACCTAAAGTTAAAATTAACTTTTTAACCCAAGTTAATTTAAAAAAATGTACATATTGTCTATTACCTACTATAATAGCCTAATAATCCACCAATAGCCCCCAACCGGCGACAACAGTAAAAGATAATGGGCATACGTAACAATTTGTATTTTAAATTGTTCATAATATATTGATAATAATAATAATATATTTACTTATATAAGAATACAAATAAAAATTAAAATCAACTTAACTTAATTAAATATAAAATAAACTTAAGTTAATTAACAGTTCATTTTTTTTGTATTCCTCAAGTCAATGATTAAGTTAAATAAAAAAAAATATTATTTAATATTATTTAACATAAGTTAAATAGTTAAGCTAACTTAACTTTAACTCATTAACTTGTTAATGCCCAGCTTTGGTAAAGTCTGCCAATAATTATCTCCATTCATAACACTTTTTGTTTGTCCTATTTTTGGTTTTTTACTAAATAATTTCTATTGTAAATTATTATTTAATATTAAAAAACATATAAGAAATACAATGATATAAAATTTTTACCTAAACGAGTATTATTATATTTTATTTATAATTATTGAATACTGAAAAAAAAAATAAGTTTATTAGATAAATAAGATATTTTTTTTTCTTATACATAGGGTGAGATAATTAATCTTAATTATTTATATTGGACATAATATTAATTAGTAAAACTATTAATTTATGTTACTAATTACGATAAAGAAACTATTAATCAAAAATATTTACCTTGCAAATGTAAATTCAGGTATAGAAATATCCAAATTAAGATCACCATATTTATTTTGAATAGATCTAATAAAATTTGGTTTATTTGGAGAATTCAAATTCCAAGTAAACAAACAATGTAAAGAATTAATTTGATCAAGCAATTTTCTCTTATCAACAATTAGGTTTTCAGCAATAGTGCTATTTTTAAAACCAATATCAGGTACAACAGATAAATTTTGAAAAGTATTTATTGTTGACTCTACATCGGAATCGCCAGTAACTGCATGCTCAATAGAATTATCATTTGATTTTCCTTCAATTTTATTTGACAACATATTAAAATCACTAACAGTTTGCTGTGTGGTGTCAAATATTTCAATATTATTTTGAGCCAAGTTATTGTCTTTATTCTTATATTTTTTATTAGAAATATTTACAATAGACTTAAATATTGAAAACATATTTTAATAAGTATAAACAGTACCTATCAATAAAGAAAACAATGATTAATAATTGAAACAAAATTGAAAAAATTGTATTTGAAACGTACATACCAGGAATAGTCTGTAATAGTTTTGAATTAAACGTACATACATAGGTAAGTAGTAAATATATTTTTCATCCGTCATAAACACTATAAATTAATAATCTTACCACTTATTTCATATCTGTATTATGTAGGTTTGATTGGTGTTTCTAAAAGTTATATTGTACAATATTATAAAAAAAAATTTAACTAAAATGTTTAATGTACAATTGATTGAATTATCTTCTAGCTCTAGGTGCTAGAAGATTGTCTACGGTGGAAGCCATGCATTACTGTAGACAGATATAAACGAGTTTGTTGTAAAGTAATTCATAATTCTTGTGAACATTAAAAATCACTCGATAGCAGAATATTAATACAAAGACGGTAATTTAATGTAATTATTACTTTAATGACGTTTATGGTTAATGTACAAGTAGAATCAGCAAGCACCCTAACATAATCCGTAGAAAATGATAAATATATTTGTTTTGGTTTTCTTCAAATTATGCACTAATAGCCATATTAAGTTCATAAAACATGGACATAAAAACTACGCAGTATATTTTACGTTGTTTACACGATATACACTAACACTAGTTGCATTTTATTGATGTTTGATTGGTAAACATTCCGGAGACAATTTTCTTCGTGCGCAAATTACAGTGTGCACAACCTGGTTCAATCAGGTGATTTGGATCAATATTTTGGGTTTTCAACATTAACAAAAAATGTGAGTTTCTCATAAGTCTTATATTGTATATAAATATCAAGACTAAACTGAGAAATAATGAAAATAAGAATTAATAATGTATTATCACCGCATGATCATTGTATAGATAACAAATCGTATATCTCACCGAAAAAGCATATAATTCTATTGATTAATAGTACGAATTAAGATATCTTAATTAAGATCAGTATATCTTAATTCATAGTATTACCAATACGACTCAACTAAACTTCCCATTTGTCGCTAATAAGTACTTGATAAATATTAATTTGAATAGGTATTAATTGTTATCAATTAAATTATTATTATTATTGTTATTATTTATCTGTTCGTTTATTATTTCGAGGGGGTGAAACCAATATAGTTTGCACCATATGCATGTAATGGTGTAGAAAATTTAAACTGGTGTCGTTAATTTTAATACCGGTTACTCCAAAAAATATCTCAAATTCACATCAGTTTGATTTTCAAGGGGAAATGTACACACCGGATTTGTATCGACGAATTTCTTGATAACATTGTGTAAATTATAATATAGGTACCGATTGGTGAATTATGAACTAAGATATTTATCATTCATCATAGTTCATGCGATGAATCAAGGTTTATCACAGATAATATAGATAATAATCGATATCTTATTATCTATATGAAGTTTATAGATTTAAGCAGGATGCATCCTTATGCATATCCACCTTGGATTTAAGATTATAATCTCTAAATATATATATATATATGTATATATAATCTATAAACATTGCTGATGAATGGCAACTTGTTCGGAAAATAATAATAATGGGTAATATATTAACATATTGCGAGGTTTTACATAACAAATCGGACTTCATTTTAGATTAATTTCTTCCATTAGCTCCAAAGCAATATTACAATTAAATTTAGTAGTATTTATTATTTAGTACCTATTCAAATATTATAAAATTTAAAATATTTAGGTATAGAAATCATGCTTTCGGTGGGTTATTACTTATTATTTATTCTTTTCATTTTCGAACAAGGTCCCCTCGAACCATAGTTATGTTTCGAACTTATTTTATCACTGCTAATTTACATTAATAGTAGTTTTATAATAAAAATAGCAGTTTATCATAGATATTTTAATAGATTATATTTATAGATATATGTAGATAATATCAGTAATCGGTAAAAAGAGACCAAGAATAAAAAAAACAATTTTAAAATTTATAATATATTAATTAATTAATATGAAAGTTAAAAAAATATTTATTTAATATAATTTTGAAAAATACGTAGGTATTGAAATACAAAAAATATATTTTTATGAAAAAGGTTGGTTTTTAATTGTAAAAAAGTATTTTCAAAAAAGTTAAAACTTTTCAAAATAATGAGTGGTTGTATTAGGTATTATCTTTCATTAATTGAAATCACCTATGAAGAATAGGTAACTATAGATTAATGTGTTAGATAAGTACGCACATTACATTAAACACATTATAGATGTCTTTCACAAAAGACAATTGGGATACATAAACTTTTCAATTATTACTAAAAGTAAAAAAAAAGGGTTTAGGATTATTACAATTATTAAAATCAGGTACGAAAAGGAACGAAAAAAAGAACGCTGTTCTAGGATAATGGAGACGGGTGCAGTCATTGTTGTAAGTGGTAAGTTGGGAAGATAGGATACAATAAGAAATATAATGTATATGTAAGAAATAATAAACTAAAATTTTATTCATTCAGAATCGTTTTTTCATTGTCAACAATATATATTTCATATTATGGTAAAATAATTAAATAGGTATTGTATATTTTCTTTAATAATATTTGTTTAATATTGTACCGATTTTCCTGTTTTTCCTACGTTTTTCCCGGTTTTCCCATGTTATTTTCCGGTTTTTTCCCGTTTGATGAGAAAACTCTTGAAAAAATCGAAAAATGATCTCCCTTCAGTACCACCTTAAGAAAATTTCGTTTTGGAAAAGGGTTTTTATCGTATACATCGGAGTAAGCTTCTTGATAGAAAATGTTTACATAACAAAAAAATATATATATATATCTAAATCAGTGTTTCTCAACCAGGGGGTCGCGAACACCTCGACTACGTTTTGTTATATATTTATCCATAATCATTAATTCAAATTACACAAAACAAAAAAGACGCACCAAAAACCAACTTAATAAACGCAATATCACATGAGTTTAACAACTCGAGCGACGCGTGACTGTCATCGATAAATTAATCGTTTCATAACACACAAAAATAATATTAAAAATAACAATAATAAGCAGTCGATTAAATGTAGATATCTCATCAATAAAACGGGCACTACTCCACTAATGGAAATTCCTAACGACCCGATACAAACTTGATAAGCTTAAGTTACTAAATATGGTATTTATAAATTGGTATTTAAAATGTTATATTTCGTTTGGTTAATGATAGGATATTTTTACTGTTTAAATTTTTACCTAACCTAGATGGAGTGGGGGAGGGGGTCGCGAAGTGATTGACTATATTTTTTACCTATTTTGGGGGTCGCGACACTAAAAAGGTTGAGAAACGATGATCTAAATAAAAATAAAAAAATAAATAAACATCTTTGTAAAACCAAAAAAATGCTGAATGTTTAATAATGATTTATTTGATTTACAGAATAATTATTAAGTTAAATTTTAGTACTTAATGTGAAATGGATAAAGTGTATTAAAAACTTTCGGTGGAAAAAGATAAAATTAATAAAGGTATTCAATGTGGTGACATCATAAATTAATTTGAAAAGTACATACATAAAAAAAAAAAAAAAATATTATATAATTAAATTTATATTTAAATTTACAATCACAAACAATACCTACTAGAATTTGCTTTATAATGCTAAATTCTAATTAAATATTTTATTTAATTAGTCTTAAAAAATATATCCGTTAAATGATTGAATATGTGCAAATTCAAAAAAAAAAATTAAATTTACAATTTTAAAATACTACTAAATTACAGAGACATTATTAATTCATTAATTATGACACTATTAAAAATAAAATTTAATTGAGTAATTTATTTACCCCCTCCCTCTATGACACATTTACAAAAATAACTTTTTTTGTTCCACTTGTGGGACTTACTTAAAGACTTGAGTATGTAGCTATAAATAATAGGTCACAAATGCACAAAAAATAATTAGTTAAGTTACGGTTTTTAAATTATTTACCTACTGGCTAATGATTATTGAGTACATATTGAATGATATATCACTATAGTTATATAAAACTTATATCGGTATTTCATAGATTCAAAATATAACCAAGTTAAGTTAAAATTATTTACCTATTAAAAAAAATAACTAAATTGTTTTCTAATATTCTATTTGTTTAATTATTTATCCAGGTATTTAAGTTTGTAAGCTAAAAATTATTAAGCATAGTAATGTGAGATACTATTCACATTAATATATTATTATAATTATAACGGGAAGTTAGGGGACGAGAGAATAGACATATTAATAATCATGACTAATAATCTAATTTGTCATCTTAATAAAATTATTAATCTTGTTATGGACCAGAGTCAGAGGACTGTTTTGATAAGAAATGAGTGTTATTGTATCATTTAAATTGCCTATACCTAGATAACTAAGGAGTAATGTTGTGAAAACCGAAAGCCACCACTGCGTTGCATATCAAAATAACGCCCCTCTTTAAGCCCATGTAATATATAAGGGAATTTAAGCACAGATTCGGAGAAATGAAAGTTTCAAGTTTTCAATAAATTGATCATATTTCCTATTCGATCTAGTCATGTGTTATGGCTTTGTACAACATTATTCCTTTAGTTTCTGTGGTATACGCAACTTAAGTTACACAAGTTACACACCGGCCATGACACTATTTCTTATCAGAAGAGTCTCCTAGTTCTTAATTGGTCCTCTAACTTTACGCACGTTACTTATAATAATTTAAATTTCATTTTTTAACTATATATTGTCTAACTTTGTAAATAATTTGTTTAAAGTAATTTTATTTACATCTGTATACACAACAATAAACCTTTACCAACAAAAAATATTCTGACTGAAGTACAGTTAAATATGCCATGATTTTTCTAATTTTCGTAAACATTTAAACTTATAATGCTCATAAAAAAAATTTGCTTATACCTTGTGCCACAAGAACATATATGGCGATGGACCAAAACTTATAGGTACTATATAAGGCTCATTTTTAACCACTAGGTATGATATAATAAATTATGATGAACCTGTCTACTTGTGATAAAACTAAAAACTCTTAAAAGTTTCTAAAAAACTATAATAACATATAATAAAAATATGTACCTTCCTATATAGTTGACAAATTTCCAGTTTGTTTTGAAAATTATACCATGTCTAAAAGTGCTAATCATAGTGAACGAAGATAACATAATATTAATATTGTATTAGTTTGTAGGGCTATATCACTACTTTATACTTATAATTATTAAGTATATATTTATTCAATTTTGTTCAAAATGTCAACCATTTTAAGTCTTCACAATTATTTTCAATTGAATTAATAAAAAAATTAGTAATTTTTACCGTACTTGTAGTGTATAATGTTTGAGTGGCCACACTGTATCTCTGTAATCTCCTTGAACAATATCGTTATCGTATCAATATGAAGATGAATAGATAAAACGATTGTCATGAATATATTAAGTAGCAGGTAATAATAAATTGTTGTTTTACGGTTTTCTTTCGTGTGTTTGTGCTTTATTCATTTGTTTATCAATACTATCTAATGTTTTAATTAGTTTTTTGCATAGCAAAAGTTATCATAGTGAATGTTAATCGTTATTCATGCTAAGCAGGTTAATTTGTTTCTAATTCATTGGACGCCGAACATAACCATTCACCATCAAGTACTAAACCATGTAATGAAGAAAGACATTTCATGACTGACAACAAATCAAAAAAAAAAACACCACTTAACACACGTGAGGCATTTCAATGTTTTTAATTTAATTTGTTTGAAATAAAATAATAGAAATGATCAACTTTAAAAAATTTATAAGCTCCATGGTTTTGTCACTTTTGTTAATAGTTTTCTGACAAGTTGTATTAACCATAAATGATTGTTTTGGTGTGCATTAATACAGTTTTCATGTGTTTCTTCAATACCGAATTCTTGATTAAATACACTCATGATTATTTGTTAACTTTACATGGCAGAAAACGCCTCCATTTCCAATAACAGTGGTATTGTGGAATTCAACCACCATTTAGTAACTGAACAAGAGACAAGGATGAGTGGATCTAATAGTTGTGGAGCATCAATTGGTAATCCAACTGCTAGTGTCGGCACTGTTAGTGTTTTATTACCAAGTGGTGGTGGTGGTGGCGGAACTAAGCGCAGAAGTGCTCTTGGTAATAATAGTTCTCACAATGTGAATGGTTCCACTTCAAACTCAGCATCCATATCTGCAGATTTAGCATCATTATTTGAATGTCCTGTTTGTTTTGACTATGTATTACCACCAATATTGCAGTGCCAAAGTGGACATTTAGTATGTAGTACATGCCGACCAAAACTTAATTGCTGTCCAACATGTCGTGGTCCATTAGGAAATATACGAAATTTAGCAATGGAAAAAGTAGCTTCAACAGTCATGTTTCCATGTAAATATTCATCATCAGGTTGCCCTGTTTCATTATTGCATTCTGAAAAAGTCGAACACGAAGAATTGTGTGAATGTCGTCCGTACACTTGCCCTTGCCCAGGTGCCTCTTGTAAATGGCAAGGTGGATTGGAACAAGTCATGGAACACTTGATGGTAGCACATAAATCTATAACAACTTTACAAGGGGAAGACATAGTGTTTTTAGCGACCGACATAAACCTTCCTGGTGCTGTGGATTGGGTTATGATGCAATCATGTTTTGGTCATCATTTTATGCTCGTACTTGAAAAACAAGAAAAATACGAAGGTCACCAACAGTTTTTTGCTATTGTTCAATTGATTGGTAGCCGAAAACAGTGTGAAAATTTTGCTTATAGACTAGAACTTAATGGACATCGAAGACGTTTAGCATGGGAAGCAACACCAAGAAGCATTCATGAAGGAGTTTCAACTGCAATATTGAATTCAGATTGTTTAGTATTTGATACAAGTACGGCACAACTTTTTGCTGATAACGGCAATTTAGGAATTAATGTTACAATATCAACAAATGTATAAGGTAAAGAGTTAACTTTACATACAAAATATTGAAACTTGTAATTAAATTAATTAACTTATAATATACACTCTATGCATATGACTAATATTCCTAATATAAATATATGCATGTAAATTTAGTTTCAATCAATCAATTGTGTATTTTGGGTAAGTAGCATATTTTCATAATATGAGTGTATATGTATCTATTTTGTCATTGACATAGTTTGAAAAATGTTTAAATCCAGAATTTCATCTGAAGATATGTATTTTAAATTTGAGTTTATTAAGACTTCTGAGTATGTAATTTGTACATCTCATTTAACCTTTTATCTTGGTAACAATAATATTTAATAATTATTTAAATACATTTTTATTATATTTTTGTGAGTTTTAATATTCATTAAAAATTATATTTGATGTTTATTTAAGGTTACTTTTATTTGTAAATAATATAAAAACATTCTTCATTACAAATAATTAACTATTGTCTTTTTAATTGTATTAGTTTAAATTGCAGTTTTAACTACTTAGGTATTTTATTGTAAAATTGTAATTATTTTATTGTGTGTATTTTAATTTTCAACTATATACATGAATATATTATTCTTAAATTTAAATGATATGCTTATAATATTGTACTATTTCTCATGCACCAAATTCATATATAATAGGTGTATTCACAGTTACTAAAATAATGTATAATAGTGGATTTATAAGTTAATAATAGTGTTGATTTTATTAAGTCAATGGTATTAACTTCTATGTATATATTTTATAATATTATTCTATACATTACTTATATTAAGTGTATCATTTTTACAGATATTTGCATTTTCATGTTTTTTTTTAAACAGTTAAAATATGAGCTTGTTATTGTTTCACACATTATGTAAACTATAAAATTCTGAGACAAAAAAAAAAATTAAATTATTAAATTAATGTTGAATTATTTTATTGTATAAATTACTCATCAAATAATACATTCGATTCAGATTTTATTTCTTGTTAATGAATACTAAACAAAACATATTGAGGCTGTGTTCAATATTTTTGTAATAATAATATGAAAAAAAGTAGTTACACTACCATTGATTTGCAGATTATGTATTTTAATTGTAGGTATTACTTAATAAATTGTATTCACAGTAGGTTTTATTTTTCTTGTTACCTATTTGTGTTCATTTTATAAACTATTCTATTTTATTTAGGTAGTTGTAAAATACAATAATTTAGTTTTCTTTGTTTTATATAATTGTCTACCTATAACCTAATATGTGTGTGGAATATAAAAATAAATTAAAATCAATTGTATATAAAAATAATTATTGATTATTAATTTAGAGGTCAGTATTGGTCATTAACAGCTGTGTTCCAAGATACTATATTTTTCTATCTTCTAACTCCTTAGGCTTGGTATGTATATAGTATAAAAAAAATGAAAAAAAATGTATATACTTTGTCAAATAATTTTTGTATACACATACTATAAATATGTATACAGGGCTTGACTGAAAGAAAGCTGGGGAAAAGTAAATAAAAAGATTGGAAAAAATCTTTAGGGGTTGAATTTCGAAAATCTGGCTATGAAGTGTACAGATCCATTCATTGGCTTCTTTATTCCAATTTGCAAAACTGCGTGTAATAAATTTGACTGGATCTTATACAAACATTTTCTTTTATTAATACAGATTTATCACATATGTATATCATTTAGTTTCATTCAATGTGAGTGTTCCTGGAAATTGTCTTATTCACCATACTGTACAATGTGACAATATCCATATTCTAAATTTGCCTCTGAATTAATATTAATCTTATAAAGTAGTTAATTATTTAGATGTAGTCAGTCAGTCATTGATTGAGATAAATTTAATTTAATGATTTTAAACATTTTTTCTTTTATATGTTTATAAAATTTCATATTTATTTCGTACATATTTGAAGGTAAATTAATTAATAAATATGATTATAATAAGATGTATTGTATTTTAATGTGCAATTAGATTTTGTTTTAATTACTGATTATTATGATGGCATTATTATAAACTATTTATTATGTATTCAAATAAATTAATTTGTGTGCATCTTTGATTTTGTTTATACTATTTTTTAATATTTACAGACTACAAGTGTTCAAATTTGTTACTTATGTCTTTTACAACATTAATGTAGTATACCTATATTAGTCATTAGCTTTTTTAAAATTGATATAAAAACATATTAGTAAAACTATTATTATACTTATATTATATACACATATTTATAAAATGTATTCAAATTAATCACTATATAATTAATTTTTATAATTAATATACAATTTAATATATATATATAATACAATATAGTCTCAATAATGACTAAATTAGTTTGTGAACCAAAAAACGATATTTAGTATAAATTATTACATAAGTATAGAATTAATATAACAATATAATTGTGCAAATAGAAAGTAATAAATAGGTATTATGTGCAATGCAATGTTCAAGTTGCAGTGAATTTGATGTGTAATCTAATTAATACAATTATGATGTTTTATTGAACATTATATTAAAAAAATTATTATTAGCATTTTAATTGTAATAATAAAAACTTAAAAAAATAATTTTTTTTATAAATTGTGAGTTTATTAATTGTCAACTATTATGAGTTAAAATATCATAATAACATGGATAAGGAAATGGTTTAATATAATTATTGTATGATATTTGTTACATTATTTAACATGATGGTTAAATATCGGAACATTGACATATATTTTATAATGTTCCATATTATTACTTAATTTAATATTTGTTCACCTAATTTTTTTTATAAATAATTAACATATTGGTAATATATGTTTATTATATCCATAGAATAAGAATATATTATAGTATATAATTTTATTATTAATAGATATTGCTGACTGATGCAAAGGAATTCAGTATATTACAGTAGTATGACATTAATTAATTATAATTAATTGATTATAAAGAGGTGTTAAACAATTATTTTATTTAAACAAAATACCTATATATATATATATATATATATATATATGACTATTTGAATCTACTGGTCATCATATAAGCTCTGCACTTTATTATAATTTTTATGTTAAAATCATACATTTTTTTAAAAAAAATAAATTTTCTCAAATTTTATGACTACTATACTTATCTGTATTTGAATAATTAAAAACATAAATGAGTTTATACTTAAGTGTTTTTTTTCTATTAGTGAATAATTAGTACTTATTTGTATTGAACATTTTAATATTTCTGTGCAAATAAAGATAATGTAGTGTAATCATTTTGTATGTATAAAATCTTAATGTAGTCTAATGGATATATTTCATTTATCATTAAAAAAAATATTAAATACAATATTATATTAAAAGTTTTAATTCAGTTTTAATTGTATATAATATAATTTTATTAAGTAATTTTCTTGAATTAATACTTAAATAAAAATAAAATAAATAACTTAAATTTTAAATAAAAAAAAAATATAATATTAATAAACATAATAATGACCACATATTATAATAATAAAGTTGTTGTATAATTAGGTAAAAAAAAAAACACACAGTTTTACACAAATAAATTAAATTCAGTTTAATTCTTTGGATTTTCATTTATTAGAAAAAATCAATTGAACGACAAGTTTTCTAGATAATATTGAGTTCATTGTAAAACAGCAACAACCAAATATGATTATTGACGGCCATATACTTCATTAATTTTTAGTTTATGATGTGGATATTTGGCTGTTTAGGCACCATGTTTATTATAATAATATTATCTACAAACCTTGATTGGAACATATTAAAACCACTGACAATAAAAAAAAAAAAATAATAGGCACTTTGATAAATACAGCCACTTACACTCCTTATATGGAAGAAAAAAGCCTTTAATTAGAAGAAAACTGCAATCATATAGTCTTTCTTTATTTGTTCAGATGATCTCATAATAAATTATATAGTTAAAATTTATCCATATAACTATACAAAATAATACATTTTTTCATTATCTATGGTTAAAAATCACTTACAAACCAATACTTAAATAATATTCAATATACAATATTTAAAAAAAAAAAAGTAATAAATACATAATTGAAATTTATAATCTTTTTGTTCCATTAACAATTTTTTCATGTAATTCTTGGGTATATGGTATGAATTTGTTTCCTTCATTAAAATATAAAGAATCAGTAGACAATTTTGTAAGATCATATCCATCATTTTGAAGATCATTTTTTTTCAGCTTAAATGTACCTACAATTGTATTTAAAATATACAATAATATTAATAGTTTAAAATTATAAGATATTTCATAAAAAAGTTAACTGACCAGTTAAAGATACAGGTGTTTTCACTACACGTAAAAACAGTGGACGTGCATAAACTGGCAACGATTTGTTCATTTCAGAACACAAATACTCAAAGTCTATGTCTCCTGTTTGATCAACTATGGCAACCATTCCAGCTTTGCCTTCTGTATTTGGTATCTATGAATATGTTAATAAAAATATTAAATTAGTGTTCATTATTTTGATTTATACATTACCTCAACACCATAAACTATGCAGTCCTTTAGTTTAACTATATTGCTTATTGCAGCTTCCACTTCAGATGTAGAAACATTTTCACCTTTCCACCTATTTAATTATATTAGGAAAACAATATTAAACTAAAACTTAATACATTTTTTGTATTGATCTGAGTAAAAGAGTTAACTTCTGTAAGTCATTTTTGGATTAAATTTATCACACTATGATGTTAAAAGTTTTTTCACTAAAAATAATAGCATCGGAAATTATAGATAATTTAAAATGTAATATATTAATCAAAATAATCGTATCCAATTTTCTAATTATAATTTTATATAAATAATTTGAAATAAGTAAATTTAAACTATATAATATAATTTACTCATTTATAATATTTCCTTATTTACCTGGTCTCGCCAGTCACAGATGGTCACAAAATCTCTATTTCCTCTCAAACAACCTTTCTGGTTAAACTGATTCTCCTAGTCTCCTTTATCTAACTAATTTTTAAGTCCCTCTGTACACTCAATCCATCCCATTCCATATTCTATATTCTCTACTCTCAGATGCTATCTTTTGACCACTTCCCAATTACCTGGCTTATGCACATCGCCAACGTTGACCCATCTTACTCGATTTGCCTTTAGTTCTGCATTTTTTGTTATTTTATCACCCAGAAATTGAGTAATTATTATATCTTCTTAGTTATATTAACTAGTTAGTAATTTGTAATGTTTCAACTGTACCTCTATGTCTTTTAGCCCTCGGCTTGTATTATTATTAAAAATAAATAAATAAATAATTTAAATATGTGTGTAGTTAAAGTAAATAACTAAAAGTTACCTGAAAGTATCACCTGTACGATCTTTAAAATAATAAAAGTTGTGTTCATCACGAATTAACACATCACCTATATTTCATAACAAATATTGAAAAATAATTATAACAAATCTTATCTATGCAATAAAATCAAAATTTACATTTAGTTATGTTAAAAAAAAATTACCAGAGTTAAATGCTTGGTCCCCTTTATGAAAAACATCTCTAATGATTTTTTTTTCTGATGCAGATTTCTCTACATAACCGCTAAAGGAATTTTCAGTTGTTTTTCTTATTTTTCCCACTAATAGTCCAGGTTCTCCTATTTAAGTAGTTATATTTAATTTAAGATAATATAAACATAATTTATGTTTTAATTAATTTTTAGAAATATAACAATCAAAATCTCACCAGCTTTACATTTAATACAAAGATTATTTTTTCCTCTAATAGGTTCATTAGTCTCTGGATTGACACGTATCAAAGTAACAGGGTAAAATGGTTCTCCAATGAATGGAATAAATCCGACAGCGCCTACTTTATTTGTCGTATTCACTGAAAAAAAAAAAACAATATAATTCAAGTACCTATCTAACTGTTATTTTTTTTATAAAATCATATTTTTGTATGAATTAATATGAATATTGGCATGAATATATCTTAATTTGTGATGTTTGCTAATGTATACATTTATAAACAATTTTTTTTTTATCACTTCTTAAATTTCTTACTCATATTGGCATTTCCTTCTGTAGCACCATAGAATTCTGCTACTTTCTTAATATTAAATCGTTTAGTAAAATCTTCCCATATCTGAGGCCGTAGTCCATTTCCTATTATCAACCTGACCTGATGAGTGTTGTCAGCAATAGACGGAGGTGAAGCCAAACAATAACGACACATTTCACCAATATATTGTGCAACCTCAAATATAATGTTTAATTGAAATATATTTATTATTAAATAATACAACCATGAAATAAATGTTTTTTATTTAATATACATATAAATAAATCTCATATGGGGAGGGAGAATCATTAAATATTGTAATTTATCTTAACATTTTGCCTTACTTACTGTGCATTCATATTTAAGGCAATCTGACCAATATTTAGATGCTGAAAATTTTGATCTTATAACACATGTTGAACCTCCTAAGAGGACTGAACTAACACCTAAAATACCTCCAGCAGTGTGATACAAAGGTAATGGCGTATACACAACATCATGCTCAGTTATACCGGCAATATGTTTGGCCCCCATCGCCATATATATTGCTCTAAAATAATATTCAGTAAAATAAAATGCTTATAAACTTATTGTATTAGGTATTATTGTATTGTAGGTGTTAATTTGTTTTACCTTGATTGAGTCATAATAGCAGCTTTTGGCATACCCGTAGTTCCTGATGTATAAATGTATAACATTTGGTCATTAGAAGTACCTTTAGAAATTTCTTGTAAAGGTGCACTTTTTGATATTCCTTTAAGTTCGTCATTTAGATTGATTGCTTTACTGAGTGGAGTGTTAATCAAAGTATTATCATTGTTATAATTTTTTATGTATATTTTAGATGTCTCTGACAGATCTTTTAATTTATCATCACTAGTTGTGTTAATAACATCCACTAACACTATAAAAATGAATAAATAAATAACTTAAATTTTTTTATGTAAATTGATAATTTCATTTTAATATTATGTCTATTTATTATTAGGTATGCAAATTAATACTAACCTATATGACTACACTACATACAAATATAAGTGATTAACTAGGGAAATTCTAATTTTGATTTAAGTAAAATTTAAACATCCCTGTGTTACACAGTATTTGAAATTTGTATTATAGAATATTAGGATGTATATTAGGATGCAAAGGAGTACAATCACAGACTATAAGGAATATATTTTTAGATACAACTTCTATGATCATAAATAAAACATATTAGGTACTTTTTATAATTACCTACACATAGAGTACAATTTAAATTTGTTTATTGATTAATATTTTACTATCTAGCAATTTAAAACTAAAAATTGTTGGAAGTAGATAACATTCTTCAAAAATACTGTGCTAAAAATTTGTTGATTATCAGATACTTTTGTTTTTATTCAGGTCCTAGTTTGCTACTATGATAGATCGATAATTATAATAATGTATACAAAATATATTAAATACAAATACTATATTAGATAATAAAGCCAGCTTCCAAAATAAAAGTGATAATCATTTTTATGTAAGTTTCAGATTTGACATTGAGAATGGTATGAAGTTTGAAAGATATTAAGTTATGTGGGAAAGATTAGATACTTAGCTACCAATATAATAATTATTCTTTCTTTGTCTTTCATACAATCAGCATAGAATTTTAGAGCAATTTTCCAACAATCAATCCTATCCATATTGTATAGCAATTCGAGCAAATTTTAATTCAACTCGAAGTGAACATGAGATCGATTAAGCCAATTTTTAAATTAAAATTAAGTTTTTTATTTTACATAATATCTATTTTTTAAAATATTTAAATATTTAATTTTGGGAAATCATGGTATAAAGTTCCAAAAAGTGGCCCCCCGATTTCAGATACACTTTTTGCTAAATTCAAATCCGTTTTCTGAATTTGTAGTTTCACAATATCGGTCCTACTGATTACCGGAATATAAATCCAAATTGGTATATGGTAGCCCAAAACAATATGTCGGTATATACTATATAGCATAGCAAACAGAATACATATACATTTAAATTACTCATTATTACTAATTTACATAGAATTCATCTGTATTACTATAGTAGGTATTTTAAGTTTCGAGTTCACTTGAAAATTACCTAATCAAAAATAATTTTTATATTTTAATCAAAACAAATATTTATGATAAGAAATTGCCGCGATTCTTATTAGGTTTTATCATTATATAAAACCTAATAAGAACGTGGATCTTGGATTGTACTGTTATAATTTTTACCTACATTTTTATTAATATTAAAACTAAAAAACGTAGTCACAAATGTAGATATAATATAATTATTAGATAACTGTTGTGTATTATTTTGTGTTAAAAAAATGTTTATTATAAATAATTCACACAATACTAAATCAAGAACTAAATTGGAAAATTAGAAATAATGTTCGTTTTGTCTAATCGTTTAAGGTAAGGGTTAAACTGTTTATACCTAGTAAAATGATTGAAATGTTTGATGTACATAAAATAATATTTATTATAATGTTATTCCATAAACTATAGAGTACTCTGGGTTATTGTAACAATTGCCTTGTTCGGTTTAACAAAAAGTGTACACAGAATACAGTATCTACACTTTTTACTACATTTTTGATAAGGAATACTATCAAATGTGTAGGTGTAGAATTTACACTATGATGTGACTAAGGATACATAGAAGTAAAATTGAGTATGAGTTAGGAAGAACAGGACAAAACAGCTAATGACAATAAATAGTTCCGTAATAGACGAGATTGAGAGTTTTAAGTACCTAGGATCTTTTGTACAAAAAAACAATGGCTTTAAGATAGGATAAAAAACAAATACATATGAGATACCTTAGACATGATTTCGATAGTAAACAAAATAAGAGATTGAGATGATATGGGCATGAAAAGAATAAATTGGTATGAATTCTAATAAAAATAAATGTAAGAGGAAAGAGGTGGAGAGGAAGACTAAAATAGAGGTGATTGATTGTATTTTAAAATAATATGAGGACAGCCAATATATGCAAAGTGGAAAATTGGGTCAAGGGGTTAGTTGGGATGAGACAAAGAATAAGATATAGATTTCTAATCAATGACCAATACCAAATTATTAAGAAAGTGTTTATTATCAAAGTTTCCTTTTCTTTAAATGTAAAAATGTCACATTTTTTTACATTAATTTTAATTTGTATAAAACTTACCATTGATTTGGTCTTTGCCCATTATAATTGCTGAACAATTTGATACTTTTAGGGAATGTACCAATGTTTCGGCTTTTAAATTATTATTAATTAAAGCTACAATAACACCAATTTTAGATAAACCTAGCCAGATACAAACATATTCTGGACAACTTTCCATAAACAAAGCAACAATATCGCCTCGTTTAAGACCTTGTTCTTTGAAATAATTGGCAATTTGGTTGCTGAGTTCTTCTACCTATAAATTGTAAGTAAACTATAACTGTGTTATATTTATGTTATTTTTATAATTGATATAATTAAGTTAGTTATTACTTGTTTATAAGTATTAATTATATTTAGTTAGATTATTAGATATATAATAAAGTAATAAATCCTAATTTACCCAATTTTAAATTTGTTATTACTGGTTTTTACTGTATACTTAGTATATATAGGTGACCCATTTATTATAAACCAGTGATTTTCTCAAAAGATTTTAAGTGAATTTAAGTTCTATTTTTTTTAGATTATTATGAATTTGTTTAAATTTTATTTTACCACCATTTTCAATTTTTACCCCTACTTCTTATACTTTATATAATGTAATAGGTACACATTTTTAATTTTCAAATTGCTATAATTTAAACAATTTCATTTATATTTTGTATTATTCTAGGAATAAACCTTTTATTTATATAAAGCCAGTATATTTCAATGAATATTAAAATAAAATTATTTTGTTCTTAAAGTTAGCAGCAAGTTTCTTACATCATTTTAATTATTCTATTGATAAACATTAGTTTAATTTTAACCCTGTGGTTGTTCTAACCTTTACAATTTATTAAATAGACCATCAAAGACTGGTGAACTAATAATACTATAAACATAAAAACTAAATTGGTATTGAATATAGAGGTACATATGATAAAAAATACACAATTTTAATTTTATAGATAGTCTCTAAAAATTAAAGTTATAAATACATCATTTTTATATTTTAGGATCAGTTAAAACTATTTTGTTTTAGCTTATTGTTTATTAGCAATAGTGCATTTGTCTGAACATTATATAAATAGACATTTAAATTTGTGATGATTAGGAACTAACCATTTCCTTCCACTAGGACAACTAAATGGAATGATATACCTTTAAATGACAATAAAAATCTAAACCAAAGTTTAATTTATTTCAATTTTATATTAAAATAAAATGCATTACTATAATATATAAAATATACAATTTTAATTGAGTGTTGTTTAATTCATCTATGATTATAATGTATTGTTTGGTGTCATTAATTTTGTATTGATTGAATAAATTTATAATTTTATAATGCATATTATCAATGTGCCTACTCATTAACTCATATCTTATAATATATATATAATTGTAAATTACAATATTTAATTATATATTGTTAATATTATTGTTTTAAACCAAAAACATATAAAAAATTGATAAATTTCTTATTTAAGTATATTTATTTTTTAAATCTTTAGAAAACTTCAAGTACCTGTTCATCACATATTTTAACCCTCATTAATAAAATACTAAAAACTATACATTTTTTTTTTATATGAAAAATGAATCTAGCATAAAAAAAAGTATAATTGATAAGTGTGATGTTATCACAGCTATTTTGTTAAACTATTTTATGGTAGTATCTAAATTGTGTTTAGGCAGGTTAAGGCAATATTATGAAAGTCAATAGTTTTTATAATATGTGCCCAATTAATAATAGGGCCCTTTAGATCATCACTTTTTTGTGCATGATTGGAATTAGCACGTGTATAGTAAATCTCAACGGTGTGTGGCAGTCATGTATGATGCTTTAAGAGTGTATTTAAAAAAAGTGACACACGTCAGTTCTGCATTCTTTTTTTTATGTTGTAATTGACCAGAAAACGTATCCGTGTAAATGTTATAACCAGGGCTCAGATTATATAGCACTGAAAATAAGTTAAATATGAACTATATTATGGTATAAAAAAAATTTGCTACACTATTCTTTAAAAATATGAAAAATGGAATAAAAGAAAATATATTTATTTTTTTTAAATATACAAGTACAACTTTTAAAAAGACATAAATGAAGACTGTTTGATAAGTAAATACGCTGAGCTACTTAAAAATAGACTATAATATGAAACAGAAATGTAGTTATGTATTTTTCTTACAGATTTTTTCTATTGTTTATGAAAAATATAAAATAAATCACTATATGCTTAATTATCCAAAAATTGAAAAATAGCTCAAAAAATCTAAAATACTTCAAATATGCAAAAAATAGCAACATAAAATGTCTTATTTGGAATTTCTGGTACATAAAACAAATGCAAAGTTTACTCTGATATTTTTATTTATATCCTATAATTATTAGCAAATGTTATAAAATCTGAAGCTTGGTTATAACCATCTCTATTTTTGTGCTATTGGTGCATATAGTTTTTTAAAAACCAATATTCCAACAGTCTTCATTTACGTAATTCTGTCTAATGTGTTTTATAAACTTTAAATTAAAAATCTAAATTTAATATTATTATATATCTTCTTGAAGTTCTTATATGTTTTGGGTGTTGGAAATTATTTCTCTTTAATTAATTAATTTTTTGTTGCGGCAAACCAATTGTAGAGGTTTTTAACCACAATGTCCTTTGTCTTTCAAAACTTCGCTTACCATTTATTTTTCCTTGAAGTATAAGTTGCAGCAATCTATATCTTGTTATTGTTATTTCTTACTATGTGACCTTGGTATTCTAACTTCCGTGATTTTATGTTAAATACACAATTTGTCCATAGAATATTTAGAATTTGACAATAATTATTAAAAATTTTATATATTAATTTATATATATGGAAAAAAAAATCACTATTGTGTGTTGACACAAGCTAAAATTAAAAAAAGAGATCGAAATGGTTTAAGGATAGGAGATTTTTGTGATATTAAAATTAGTAAATTAGTGTAGTTGTACAAATCAATGAAAACGCTGAGGAAAAGGTTACAGGAAACAACTGGCACGCATGATAATAATCAAGGAAAATCATTTGATAAACACGCATTTTCATTTATGTTCATATAAACATTCTTTTACACATGATTAGAGTGTCACATTCCAATAATACACAAAAAATAATTAATTTAAAGGGCCCTTAGTAAACCTAATTATACTTAGTTCTCTTAATTGGGTAAAAATAAAAAAAGCAAAAAACGTTAATATTAATAAACATAATATCTGAAAAAAATAATATATTTACATACCTAATCAATATATTATGACATTGTGGTCTGTTATTATATTTTTAATAGACATTTGAGTTTGGTAATTAATTATTATCTATAAAATTTGTTAGGTTTATTTCTGAACTAATGGAAATATTATATTTATTAACATATATTACATATTTCTCTATCTAGATTGCAAGATCTCACATTCAATTATTTTAAATTTCTCTCCTCTTTTATTTCCATTAGTATTAGACAACCCCTTTTTAATCTCCAGTTATAATTGAATTTTGATGGTCTCCAGCTATTTAGGTATTCAAGGCAACAAAGCTGTCTTATTTGTTAAATCATCTTCATCATTTTGCTGTTCTCTCCACTTTAATTCAACAAACTGATTTTTTCCACTTAGATTAATACAATAGACCTGGTATAAGAATATTTCTTCAAGGTGTTGTTCCATAATTTAAAACTCAGTAGAAAAACAATTATACAATATTGTTTATTCAATTACGCACAATTTATTACTTTTTGCTGACCATGCAAAAACATTTAAAGCCATAAATTTACTTTCTGACACTGAATTCCTTCATGAAGATTTAACAAGTTTTAATTTTCAGTGCAAATAAAATGGTCTTTCTTTAATTATTAGCAAATATCAAACAATTCATTTTTCAAAAAACATAAAAACTTGTTATTTAGCTCCAATTTAAACTTTGCTCTTCGTATCCATTTTGACACTAAACTGTTCTTTCATATTATTTCTATTAAAAATAAAGCACTATTTAGTCTTATGCGTAATTGTTTGCCCTTTACTGATTCTTTAACTTTTAAATATTTTTTTATATCTAATATCAAATTTCATCTAGAATACAGTCAAATTATACGGGACTCTAATACTATTGGTATCTCCAATCACATAGAAGCTATCTAAAAATTAGGAGCACGTAAAAGGCTGACAAGCAAAAATAAAGGGTCATCAGTAAATAAGTAAATGAGTAGCATCCTAATAGTTGGCATATGATTCCTATGCACTCACCATTCCACTAAATCTATTCACGATAAATCCTACATACTTCTGCAGTGTCCTTCTCTTTTCACTTAATGTAATTCTGCTTTGATAGATTCCTACAATATCTTTTTTAATGCTCAATCCTTTCTTCATAACTCCTATCAAACTATCCTTCTTTAACTATGTTTTAATAAAAACAAAGTAATAATTATTATACTTTATTTTGATATCTGAGTTATACAATAATTTATGTTAAAAATTCTCAAATTAAATTGCTTATACATTTTTGAATGGTGATAAATAGTTCAATAAAGTAATGAAAAATAAATCTAGTCTTAAAATCTGTTTATTTGGTAAGTGTCACATTAAGGTTGCTATTTTGTTTACCTAATTTATGGTAGTACATTGTGTTTAGGTGGGTTAAGGTAATAACACGAAGGTCAATAGTTTAAATAATATGTGATCAATTAATTTATTATTTGCAAGTATATAATACAAATAAAACAATATATTTGAAAAAAAAAATATACCTACCTATTCGATATGTATTATGGATTTCTAGTCTGTACTGTGTTTTTAATAGTTAGGTATTTAATTACTACACATAACATTATATTACTGAATTAATATAAATATTATCAGGGTTAAAATTGTATAGCATTTGCATATTTCTTACGAGATGCTTAAGAAATAACAGAGTAAGCTAAATATGTGTTTCATGATACAGAGAACTCAAATTAAAAATTATTTTTGCATATATTTGCATATTTGTTTACAATTTTTTAGATTTTATTGCTATTTTTGGACTTTTTGCATTTTTACCTGTTTTTTTAATCAAAATTGGTCATAATTTATAAAATTATATTTCAGTAAATGTGTATTTAGATTATTGTCAATCAAATTTTCAAAGTAAATTACATCAAGTATGCAGACCGATTACTTGAACAAACTGATGAGATGTGAGCAATGCCACGCCATTCCTAGTATTTTGTATCATTTGATTCTAATTTTAAACTGGTTATCTGCTGATTTTGTTAGGTTTTTTTCTATCATTTTATGGGTTCTTTTTTTAAAAAAAGGTATTTTAAATTATTATAATAAGTCTCTAACAATTTGAAAGTGGTTAATAAATGTCTGGTTTTTTTTTTTTTTCATATTTTGTTATGATACTCATACTTAAGGTTATATTATTGTGCATATTTATAAAATTTTAAGTGCTATAAAATCCCAACCCTGTTAATTATTATACTTTATTTGATATCCAAGTTATACAATAATTGTTGTTGATACATTTATTTAGATCCATCCAGCCCATGAAGTTAACAAAAGTAGACCTGTTTTATACACCTGTCTCTTCATTCAAAATTCATAATGAGCAAAAAAAAAGCTCCCCAACCACCCTGAGTTATGACAATCCATGTAGTTGCATTACTTGAGACACTAGATCCACCATAATATATATTTTTTTCATATCATATTTATAATATTTATTATAAATTATTACATCAATAATATTATATGATTTACCTCTATATATCTCCATAAAGTATCTTCATGCTTAAATGCTACTTTATTAGGATGTTTTGTAACAATTCTTTGGAAAATTTTAGCATATGTATTGTATCCTAATAAATTCCATATCCTTATCTTGATAAAATATATTGCATAGTCTTTGATTATTCTGAAAAAAAAAAAAATCAATCTTTTATTTATCTATTAGATATTAGTTAACTTAATTATTCTGAGAAATCTAAAAAAAAGTTAAAACACACATAAAGATCAAACTACTTAGTTTTGTTATTACTTTACTAAGACTACTTTACATCTACTATTAAGTTTTAACCTTCAATGATGAATTTATGAACTTAAATCCCGTACATCTTCTCAGAATTATTTTTAAATAAGATAACTGTTGTTTCTTAAATAAACCAAAATTAAATTATACTTTTAATTTTCACAAAACGGACTGAAAGGAACAAAGTTTATAAAGTATACAAAGTATATAGGAAGGAATTCATTTTTATATGTTAATTAATTGCTTTGTTATAATTAATAAAACAATAATGTATAATTGCCTAAAATTAAAAACTATAATACTTGTAGGTATTATAACAAAATCTATTTGTCTGATTAATAATTGTATACATTTTTAAATAATTAAGTTCAGTTAGTTAATTCATGATGTTATTATATTTAATTAAACAAAAGAAATATGGTTATTTAAATCAAAAAAAGTGATAAGTGATAAGTTTGTGTTATACGCTGTATTATTATTATTACTATATTCATAGTAATTCTATTGTATTCAAACTACAACATATGTTAAAAGTAATTCAATTGCTTGTTTAATTGTTTCTAAATGATTCAATTATTGCTATAAATTATAATGTTTATTTGGGAAACGGTTTTATCTACTATGAGTTTGAATATTTTATCACATCATACCAATATATAATTTACCAATTTCTCTTTGAATCTAAACAATTATATAATCATATGTAGGTTATGAGAAACTACTGTATTTATTTTCTCATGAAACCAAGAAATAAAACAAAGCAATGACAAGGCATAGCCTTCAGTGAAATGAAGATGTAGGTTTAAAACATGTACTAGGATACTAATAATTTATTTTACAGTATTCATGACATGTATATTATACAAATGTTTCAATTTAGAAATGCTATTATTGATAAAAAATCACTCTGTATAATTCACAGCTAGGCATATATTGTCCTTAATTGTTAAATAGGCAACCAACAAAATAAGGTGTTAATAAATAATTGAATGGTCCCTACAATGTGGTGTATCATATTTAATAATATTAATGTATAATATCATTTCCGCTGAGTATCAATATATATAATTCTATTATTTCAATATGTTTTATTAAATTCTGTTTTAAATATTTATAAGTTAAAACTTAAAATTAAACACCCAAAGCGTAGGTAAATATTATATTATTATTTCTTATATTTTGAATAATTAGTTTAAGTTGTAATATTTAAATAGAAAAGTAAAGACTAGTATTATTATTATTATTTTTAAAAAACTAAATGAGACTGTTTAATATTTGATCTAAAAGAGAATTATCTTGTTAATTTGTTTAAAATATATATTCAATAAATGGCTCTAAATACAAAAAAACAACAGCTTTCATAAAATATTGCTGTGTAAATGTATTATATTAAAAACAAATTGATCCAATTTACTAGATAAATACATGGTATAATTATGTAATTACTACATTAATACATAGTATTTACCAGGAAAATGCCTATATATTTTGAAATAACTTTTTTTACCTATTTTTACTTATATCTAAAGACAATAATAATGATAGTTTTAAAAAAAACCTTAACCTTTAGATATTTCACCTCTCATTCTATTTGTATATTATATGTTTCTATTATATTCTATATTCTTTTAGGTGTTCAGTATATTTATTAAATAGATGATTATATGAATAAATTTGTTTTGCTATTTAAATAATATTTAATTATTGATTTTACTATGATGTATGCTTTCAAATTATTTTTTTCGGTCTCTAAACAACTTTTTTACCAGAAATATAACTCCAATCAAAATCTTAATAAGAACTTTTTTTGTAAAATTTTGTTTCAAATTTAGAGATGCTCAACCAGTGGCACAAAAAAAATTCCATTTTTAGAAATTTTCCAAAAAGTTCAGAGTAAAATTTAAATTAAAAAAAAAAAATAAACAATAAACAATATTCAATTTAATGTGAAATTTTATTGGCTAATAATGCAAACTTTTGTTTGAAATTCATTGTACCAATTATTAAAAATGAGTAAAGATGATCATCTATTAATCAGAATCTATTATTTGATTTTGTTAGGTTCATACGTAAAAATATTTTTCATTGCAGTATAAATTGTTTATACATAATTTATAAATAATTGTTTCACTATTGTTAAAAATTAATAATTACTTTATAGTTTACAGTGATTTTTTTTAAAAAAATGAAATAAATTTTTAAGTTTTATTTACAATATTATTATAATTATTTGTAGAAGGTACAGGTGAAATGGTACATGCTGTTTACAACACTACCTATTAAATAAATGAAAAATGATTCCAGGTGAAAGTATAGTCAAATGTAGGTAGTGGATACCTATAAGTATTGTGTAGCATACCATAACGCAATAAAAAAAAAATACACTATATTAGTATGTGTACACAATGTTACACCCATTAATAAACCCTATTATACTGATTTTAGTTCTCTTAATTGGGTAAAAATAAAAAATTTAGGATTTCTGATTGTTAAGATAACTTCATAATATTATTTTGATTGTAACCATTAGAGATATTCTACTGAATTCTATTGTCATAGTAAAGGAGTAGCCTTGGCATTATAACATACTTAAAATATTCTGTTATTGTTTTCATTTAATTTTATTATTTGTAGATAAAAAAAAAAATCCATATTTGAAGTTTATAAGGTTATATGCAGAAGATATTTTTATTTTGTTACATTTGAAAGATATAATTTTGAACTATGCTTTTATAATTTATGTCTAAAATGTGAAAATAAAAAATAAGTACTTACATTGTTGCATATGTTTGGATTATTTAATAAAAACAGCCCAGGAAATATTTAATCTACTGGACCCAAAATTTACATAGCATTTCAATTTATTACTTTATATTGTCAATACTTTCTCTTGAAAGTATCCTAATTGACAGCATATTACAGCCCTTATAATAACCTAATGCAATTTTTGATGGCTTATTAATAAAGGCCTTGTAGCTTAAAGTAGTCCCTGGCACCTTATTGACAGCCCTTCAAGTACCATTTTACAGCTTAACAGAACATATCTTATCTTGGGTTAAAATTATTATGTCACTTAACATTTGCTTAACTTATTTCTATTGTGGTCTACAAAGAAATTTCCTGGTGTCCAACCTTGTTGGTGTGTCTTCAATAGTTTTCATTAAGTGTAAATAATAGTAAAATAGTGACATTTTTGAATCTATTAAATGTATGTTTGTGATACTTAATGTGTTTTTAATAAGCTCAATGTATTTGATTGTGTTCAATATTAAAAAAAAACAAAAAATTGTAATTGAATAATCAATCATGTTTGGATTGATATTTTTGAATATTGTTATAATTTTAATAATTTATCAGTTTTCTGGTACACATATTTTTTTATAAAGATTAAACTGATTTATTTGTTTTAAGTTTAATTATTTGATCATTTTTATCTATTATAAAATATTTATGAATACAAAAGTAGGTAGTATTCAAAAAATGGAATTGGATACTGGAAATCTAATTGAATACAAATAATATTTAGAAGTTGATTAAAAACAGTGAATATACAGTTGAATAATTTGAAGAAAATTTTATTTTGTAGGTAGTAATTTAGAAAATATTAACATCTAATCGTATTGCTAGGGCCGTAGCACTAAACAAAATGGAAAATATACTGTTAAAATATGTATTTAAAAAAAAATGAACACATTGCCTACTTAAGGGAATTATTTTATTTCATGCATAGATAAGATACCATGTCTTCCGTGTAATGATAAAAATAATAATCTTGGAAGTTAATAATTTCAAATAAAAATATACTCATAGCAAATAGTAAATTCTTAATTTTTGTTTTACCAATTTTAAAGATTTATTAAATACTATTTTTGTTTAATTTAGTAATATTTTACTAAATTAAATTTGAAATATTATTAAAATATACAGTTACGTGAGAAAAAAACTAATTATGCAAAATAAACGTCTATAAGTTCCCGGTAACTTGAAACAAATTTTTAGGTCACCAAGCTAGGTTTTGATTATTAAAAAAATATACAAACTTTTATAAGTTCCTATCCTACTTATTTAATTTTCCGTTATTATACTAAAATAAAAATGCTTTTTTCAAATCACAATGAAATAATATTTTCAAAACACTATTTTTTAATTTTTGTTTAGAATACTTTGTCTATAATAATACTTGTAGTTAGTGGAATGAATTATAATAATTTAATCTACTTTAAATTTTGACTATAATTATTATCCCTGCATAATTTGATACATTCTAATGACTAATTCATTCACTAGTAGTAGTAGTAGTACAACTCAATTGTAGACTATTTAGGTGGTATTCAATCATTTCAATTTAAGTTTAAAGTATATCTTTATTAATAATTTTTATAAAAGGTAGTTGGGACAATTTTATTTCCTTATTGACTCCTTTTTGCCATCATTTAGGGTTTCAGCTTCTATTTTCTGGCATTTATATTTATTTTAATAATAGTCAAGGTATACAGATCAAATTGTTCGAGTACAGTGCATTTTTGATATTTGTGACCAATTGACCAATTTTAACATTAAAATAATGCGAGGATTGTATATGTCCCTTATTGTACACTTTTCATCTGCTAATAAAACATGTAAAATATATTATATTTTTTTTTATTTAATTGTTAACTGATTTTATGATTGACAGTAACCAGGTATTATTCACATTGTTATTAATACTTGATTGTTACAAACATTTTGGATTTTTATAGTATAAATTTTAAGGTTATTAGAAATGTCTATACAATTTACTTAAATTAAAAACTATATTTAGACTTTTTTCAGATATTAAAAAATATGTTCAGATACATGCAATCTTAAAATCAACATACATTTTAATTGTATCGTTGTAATTTATAATATTATATTTTACCTATTTATCATTTAGATAGGTATTTTATTAAAAAGGTTAACACCAGTTTAAGCAATATTCATAATGTAGGTACCTATTGTATTTTGAACATTTAAATAATATTAGTTTGACTAATATATATACTTGGTATACTTGTACTATTATACAATATTATAATTATCTCATTATTCATTTATTCTATGATCAAGAAGGAAATGAAGGATCACTATTTATAGATCTCCTGTTAATACCTACTTAAATATATATTTTATAAACCATTAACAAGTAGATATCTACGTAACTATTCTATTTAAATATGTACCTAATACACCTATCTAGGTGGCTGTATACTATTAAGGACATATTTTTGACGTGCATAATATAGGCAATTATATAAATTTGAATTTAAAAAGGTACTGTTATCTATATTAAAAATTCTATAATTTACTTATGAATTATTTGCATTTAAAGCGTAATATTATATTTTATATATTTACTTACATAGCGTCCCTCGGAATTGTTTGCCAGACTACGACTAAGAAATCCCAGTAATTTATCATAAACCATCCTGCGCCCAAAACTGGAATTACATATAGTATACAATATTTGAGGTTGATCAATAAAAAGGCTAGAGCAGTAACGGCCGAAAGCAAAACAAACGACACACTATGTTGATTTTCTTTATTCATAATTGTGTTAGTAGGTGGGTAAAAAAAATATTGTTTTCCTGACGACCAAAACTTCTTCGTCACGTGCGCACCTCAATGACTGCGGAACGACTAGTTTTTGTAGTTTCGGTTGATCGTTTGGGCAAGCGGCCGACAGGTTGCTGGCGGATATGCTCGTTGCTACTACAACTGCTATACCCTACATGATAATAATATAATTCCAAACGACGCGATACCTAGTGGCGCAAACCGAATGCAATAAGGCATTAAAGAAGATATAAATATAATAATACTTCGTGCGTATTGTATAATAGTCGCAATCGCGAGCCTAAAATCACCTATAATTATTATAATATTATTTACTTATTTAGTAATCGTTTAATGATTACACAAAATAATGTTAGTATTACATTTTTTTTTCTATTCGCAACTTATATACACTAATAATCGATGAAATAAAAACGATAAGCAACGCGATGGAACGTGTAAATGGTAATATTTTATATAATATTAAGTACCTACACGTACTTGGGTAGGTGATACTTAGGTACGTATTTTACGAAAATTATTTTTTGAAATATAAAGTATAAAACTTAAATTTAATTGAAGTGTAATACTTTTTATAAATATTGACACTCAATACTTACCTAGATAAGTACCTTAATTGATCAACATAAATTATCATTATAATAATATAGATGATATCATTAGTCTAAAGTCCAAATTACCCGTAAAAATGAGTAAACATAGATGTCATTATCTATGTATGTAAATGGTTCATATCAGAATTGTCAGAATCATCTATAATATCACCTAATTATAGTATAATATTATTATCGTACTACATTAGGTACCTTTGATATCTCCCCAATTGTATTATTTTATTTATTTTAGTTATTGTTGTAGCTACCTACTTATTTTAAATGCAATTTTTGTAAATAATAATGTGTAATAATTTGTACGTATTTTATTTAGATACTACTGTAGGTAGTTATAGTAATAACATGATGTTATAATAGTTATTCAATTTGGTACCATTTGGTTAAATACAAATTATCGAATGTCTCAAAACGTCAGAAAACTCTTGGAATGGATATTCGAATTATCGTCATAATAATTCATAAGACCCATGAGCCTCGAATTAAATAAATGAAAGATTGAAACTTCACTTCTTATTACCATAGTTAGCAATTTTAGTTACATGTTGGGGAACTTGGCAGGCAAATAAGGGCTATGCCCTCAAGTCCCCCACAAATCCGTCACTTTCGCCCCTTCTTGAATTTGGACAGAACTTCCACTGATTTTTGCAAACTATGTTTTCTATCAGAAATATTGCTCTAATAGAAAAACGACAAGATATCTTTTTTGATGAATTTTGGATCTAGTTGTTTACGAAGAAAATAATTTTATGATTGTCCAAGCAGTAGCGTTTGCAGGGGAGGGAGGTTAGGGATTATATCCCCCCCATTGGTTTAAAATGAAAAAAAAATATGAGTAATCTAATGTCAAGGTGCATATATTTCAGCCAAGTTACGAGGAAAAACTAGTCATATTGAATAGAAATTGGCCTTTTTTAGGATCCGGTTTTTAAATTATCGATTGCCTCAGTTAATTTTGGTAGAGAAAACGAATTTATGATTTATTCATGATTCTTATTTGCTACATCCCCTCCCATTGATAATTCCTGGGCACTCCACTGTGTCCAAGTAATTTAGTAGTTTTCATAATAATTGGGAGAAAACGTAAAATGAAAACTATCAAATTTACGGTTATGATTTCATTATTTTAAATTTGTATATTTTATACCAGAGTTGATCCAATAGAACAACAAGAAACCTTTTTTGTACTTTTTTGTTGAATTTTTAATCTGGTTGGTAAGTATGAAAGAAGTTTTTCGATTTGAAAAATAAAATTACACCTCCACTCACTACTTTTGCCTCTTGCATTACTATATTTTCAAAATATTACGTTACCTAGGTGAATATAGTTTTAATGGAACCAGAAGTTGAAACTTTAATTTTTCTCGAAATATGCACAGTAATAAAATTATTTATTACCTTAATATTGTCATATTATAATCTCGCTTTTAGTGTTTTTAGTGTAAACTAATAAAATAAATTGTGTTATCTGATAAATAATAAGAACACTCAAATATACATTATTACAATGTAGATTTATAAGACTAAGTATGTCTTAAATATTTTCGTCTTTTTGAATTTATTCACCTCCTATTTTTATAATAATTATATTAGTATATAAAATAGAGCTTGAGGTAATTTCGGTATTTACCATAAATACAGTATTTATATACGATAAACCAAACAAATTCGATACTTATTTCAACACGTACCGAATACTGGTGAGTGAATTCTACGTGGATACTGCCAGCATTAATATAAAATATTATCTTAGATCATAACAAATAATTATGAACCTTAAAAAATAAATTTTTTCAAATAGTCCTTAAATTAATTGTTATTAATATAATAGTGTAGGTATTACGTATTTTTTGTAGTATTAAAAATACAATAGATACGTCCACAACGGCTGAGGGAAATTATCTGTACCCCTCTAAATGTCAAATCATTAAATATCACTCTGTTTTAAAATTAATTAATTTTACTGTTAGTAGATACAGACTTGGACGTTTTTTATTCTATATTTCTATATATTATATCTTTTATTTTATATATTTTACCAATTTTTGACATTTATGTTATATATAATAATAATATTAATCTTTTGTTATCTCAAACTATGTCATTATAAAAATTATGTTTTATATCAAGGATTTGCACATAATTATTGTGTAATATTTTGCACTTTGGTGGAACCAATACTTAGAGTTTTTAGTAAAAAATAGAATATACTTACCAACACAATATTTATTTAAAAAATATGTTATAGCACCTAATGATATCGATATTGTATTTTGTATTTATTACAACACTGACAGAGGTTATTTGAGTTCACGATATGTTACTATAATTTGCATATACGATTGATATTTTGTTTAATGCAAATGTTTGGTTATTAATAATTGTTCGTAAATGTTACCTTGAAGCAATAATAATAACTTAGATATTTTTAAGATTGAAAGAGAATGAATTATCAGTTGTTCTTTTTTAATTATTATTATTTTATTTTTAGTATAATATTAGACTTTCTGCAGTATAAAACTTAAAAATATGAACAGTAAAAAAATCTATTCTCTCCATGGTTAAAGTTTAAAATTGTATTGCCTATTTATTGACTTTTTTCTAATCATTGCAGTTTAATATACGCAATTTCCTTATAAATTGCTCCTTAATCTTAGCTAGTGTACTGCTATAAAATTAGAAAAAGTATTCAATTTATTTCCCATCTATAATACCCATAGAGTATAGGTTTTTTTTTTAAAAAAAAAATTAGTCGAAATAAAACGAAAAATGGTCCGTACAATTACATAATTTATATATAGAACTATTAGTCAAATTTATGTTACCAAATAACCCAATTTGTATTTTAGTTTTGAAAAAATGTAATACTTTCTTATGCACTTATATATTTCTTTTTACTATTTTGTTTATTAACCATTTGTAAAATGTTTAAAGAACCAACATACTTTTTGTTTAATTTTTAAGTCAGTCATCAATTAATTCGAAAACACGTTTCAACTACTTATTTAGGTAGGTAATTCATTTTTAACACTCGAAAACAAATTCTATAGCTCATTATTCAATAACTTATTCGGTTTATGTAAGTATGTGACTTTAATTTATAAAACAATGACCCAGAATGTGATTGTTTTAATTTATCGTTTAATTTATCATAGGTACTTACTACCTACATCGAATGGGTATAAATATAATATTTTATCCATTAAATATTAAGTTATTTAATTCAATTAGGTATTTGGCTTTACTTCATTAATTTGGGTTTTGTTTTTTCTGTAAAAACGTGTTTTAAGCAAATTACAAATTATTAGTTTAGAAAAGATTTTTAAGTTATTTTTTTTTTTATTATTAAATTGGCTAAAATCATTACTATTTTAAACAGTGTAATTTATGTAAAAACAATGGAGTAGATATCTTGTATAATCTTTTACTTCACGTGCTTACTATGGTAATTTAAATTTTAGGTATTTACCTATTATAATTTGTACAATTTTATGGTTCCGATTATTTATAATAAATTCTTAAAACACGTCTATCCAAATTTATCCTATGTGGCGTTCCAATTTTAAATCATTTTCGTTTTCTGGTATATGCATAGTAGGCATCTATCTAATTAAAAAAAAAAACCCGTTTTAAATTGTTTTTTTTTATAGTATACTTATAGTTCTATTTTCAGCAAAATAAACTTCATCAAATTCAAGGTCATGCGTTCGAAATAATATTAATTCTTGTTTCTTCTATTGTTTTTAAGTTTTGACATGCCGCATCGCCGCTGTATAATTACGTCAGAATAAAACCGATTTAAACTTTAGAGAATATTACTACCATTATGTTAATATTTTATTAATTTATTTCTCGTTTCAAATAATGGTTAATAAAATATGACGATAAATTTATTGATTTTGTGTGATACGCATTTCTTAGTAGGAGAGTTACATCTAAATTTAAAAACATGTTAACATTATTCAGGAATTCTGAATAATTAAAACTTGTGTTTATAATTTTAAATTATTCCCCGAAAAAATTTTTACAATTTTACCTATTATCTATAATTTATAATTTATATTTTCTTTTTATTTATAAATTAATAGCTGTATGACTTAGTGTGATATCTTTAATGACAGTTGTTAAATTCAGTCTGCAACATGAAAATATAATTATGGCTTTATTGATTTTACAGTAGGTAGGTACCTACTTAATAGGATTTAATACATTTGCATGCATAAATTAAATATTGAAAAAGAAATAGACTCGAATGAATGTTAAACAATTTAGTAATTAATAATATTTCTAATATTAAAATAAATATCTTTTCGAATTTCTTTTTATTTAATTGCGGTTGGCCACCCTAGTCTTCAACCTCTATTTGTCTATCTTGTTAATCTGTCTCATTTTCATGTCTAATTTCCTGCACATTGCCTATTAACCAACATTCTAAGTAATTTAAAAATATTTTTTTTGTTTATTTGTTGGTACCTATTCATATATTATTTGATAAATAATATTATTATTTGAAGTCAACGAGTTTTTATTTTTGAAGTTTAATTTCTTAGTTTAGAAATACTAGATATTTACATTCTTTAATTTGTTATGATACAAAATATTATTTTCTATGAGATCATTGATTAATTATATACTTACAACAATTAATATGTATTGTATTTTTATTGTTAGTTAATGATTGACAAAGGTTTATTAAACTAAAATATGTGATAATGTTTCTGTATATTGACTGAATAATACTTAATTTTATAATATTAAATATAGTATAAAGTACAACTTTTCAACCTATTGTACTCATTAATAATGTTGGGCTATTTAAATATTAGGTATTGTAGGATCAATATTATTCAATTGTTTTTATATACCTATTGAGATTATCATTCATCTTTTTATTTTAAATTTTAGATCAAATAAGTTATGTACTATATGTTTTTATAATAAATAAATTAGTCATTTCTCTGAAACCACGGTTTAAAATTGTTTGATATACATGTGAGGTTTAATTTAAACAATTTCAGGGTTGCCACTCGGTTCAACTAAATGTTACTTTTTTTACAAGTTACTTTAAGTACCTTTTTGTCTTTAAAGTCACTAAAAGTCACTTTTCAGTTTTTTAAATTCTGAGTGTAGCAATGAATGTATTGGTTTTATTAAGATGTTTATTTTTTTTTTATATTTTTATATTTTATACAAAAATTCGACCAAATTTTCCTCGGATATTTAGGCGCGGTACTATTTCCGAAAGGGAATATTGTTCAGATGGTACTTTTGGGGGGTCATTTTTTGATTTTTCATGCGGTTTTCATAATACCTGTGAAAAACCAGTATAAAATGTAAGAATAACGGGAAATTCACAAAAATAATGATTTTTATTTTTCAATTTTATAATTTGTTGTAATTCAGTTAAAAATATTTATAGATATATTAATTATATAAATATTTATAGAGACTCGAAATTTGGACAGAAAACTTATGTTAGCCGTTTTAGACGTGGTAAAATGTTCTAAAAATTTAAGCCATTTTTGAGCTATTTATAAACATTTTAATTTTACGACTTCGGACGTAATTTTTATTCGGTAGGTATTCTGTGGTATAATTGTTAGACTTAAAAGAAATGCTTGAAAATTTAACAGAAGGTTCATTAGGAGTCTTACTTCGTGGTCAAAAAAGAAAATTTGAGTTTAATGTAGTATTTTTTTTCATAAAGGAATTTTAATATCAAATTTTGACGAAAACCATTGAGTAAAAAATTATGTGGAACAAATCTAATTTTTCAATTTTTTTTTTCTTAAACATATGTATATTGCCGATTTAATAACGATGGTGAAGTCAGAATTGAGCGGACTAACTAACTATAAGTTTCAAAATTATAGATTTTCGAAATTCTGATATTATGCGGATATATGTTATGTTAAAAAACTAAATATTGTCTTCTCCTTAAATGTTTGTCAGCTGAATGGTTATACATACCTATTTTCGTCCTAGAGTTCGTGAGTGTATATTCCAAAAATGAAAGTTGGAATTCCATCTTTGAAAACCGCCTTAATCAGCAATTTATTAACTACATCTCAATGTTCATCTACAAGTACAACCAGTAAAGATAAAACAAATTTATCAATTAATGAATGTTTCATCAAGTATATCTACATGTTCAAACGCTTCATATCAATTATAGTAAAATATTACTATTTTTTTTCTGTAGACCATTTTTCTATCAGCAATCTTGTTCCAATTTACAATGATAGCCCTTTTTCTTAAAGGAAATCTTACTGGGGAGGTACTTTAGAGAAGTCATTTTCCCAGAAAATGTGAAAAACCGGGAAGAAATTGAGAAACTGGGGAAATTTTGTTTGCAACCAAATCATATTTTAATTATCTAAGTTAATTAATAGGCCCCCTGTTATTTTACTTAATATTAAATATTAATTGTTTTATTACTTGCATGGCTTAAAAATTTAAGCCATGATTACTTGTAAGTTGTAAAAAAAAGTCTTATACTTTTGATTTTGTCCCCTCTCCGGTTTATATTTTTACGGGCACCATTGCTTTAATCTTAATTATAACATTGTTATAAATGCTGGTTGGTTTACTGAATGTAATCTTTTACCTTTTTTTAGGTATTTTTCTTTATTTACATAATAAATATATTTCGTAACACATTATGTTACCAAGAATTACTAAAAAGTTTTTATAGAAATTTGTATTTTTAATTTTGTCATTATTTGAGTATCAACTCAAAAAATAATCAATTCTTTTTTGAGTTGATACATTGTACCTACTTGAAATTGTATAATTGTAAGTATCTATATATTCTACCTACAAATTTAGGTACAAAAATGGGTATGTTTTTCACTTATTACAATTTCATGGTTATGTCTAATACAATTTATACAATGCATCTTATGCAAAATTATAATAACATATTTATAAATTAAGCTAAATTGTATGAAACTTGTTTTATTTATGTATTTAAATAAGTCACTTTTTGGTCACTTTTTATACATTTAAGTCACTTTATCCATTATTTTATGTTCAACACATTCGTGGTAACCATGCAATTTTAATAATGTTCAGTAGAACCATAATATAGATTAAAACTATGAAAATGTACCTATAGACTCAGTTTTAAAGCGAGTTGTAATTTGGTAGCATAAGGTAGGTTCAACAGGATACTCTAAAGGTTTACATTTTTAATTTGTCTACTGATCTACTTTCTTTTGGAACAGAGTATACAATAAAATAATAATTGTTTGTTATTATTAATTTACTCTATGGTTTTATAGTGACGATAAATTAAAAGTTAACACATACCTAAATGTACACATTTTTAGTTAGCGTATATCAATAATAGACTAGTTTTCTTACAGGTATCCAAAAACAGGGATACTCATATATACCTTACAATACATCATTGAATAGGCTTAAGATAAAATATAATTTATTGCATATTAATTGTACTTTTATATGTTATATATATTATGTATCTTTAGAAGATCTGATAGTTATTGTTGATATATATTATTTTTGTTGTAAGAAACTTTACAACTAGTGTTATAAAAAACATGTAAATTAAGAATAATAAATTGTAAATGAGCATGTGTTTATTAAATCATGTACCTATATTAATAATACATTTTTTTAGAATTGTATCTTTTTAACTTGAATAATTTATCTTAAAACTTTCATAGAAAAAAATTATTTTTATAAGTACAAAAAATAAATATGAAAATATAAAATAAAATAATGTTAACAGTAATTTCTCATTATTTGATTTGACATAATATCTATGTAGTATTCTACTTACAAATACTTACTTCTAAAGTTGCATTGCTTTTATAAAATATTGTAAATGTATAGAAAATATAAATTTTTATCTCATTGTATATCTCATATAATTATTATATTTATAGGAAAAATATGGAAAATCAAAATAATATCCGCAAATGTTTAGAAGTTGTTTGGAATAGAAAGAGCAGTATAAATAAATCAAAATATATGTTGCCGAAAATGAAAGAGATAAACATTGATGATAGTTGTAAAAAAAAAAAAAAGTCTTCAAAATCTCAATATTGTTTACAGGATTCGAAAAATAATGAGAATAGTAAAGAACATGCACATAAACTAGTGAAAAGGAGTTTATTTCAAGAAAATAAAAATAAATGTTTAAGACAGAATAAACTAAAAAAAACTCATGATTGTATACAAAATTTAAAAAAGAGTTCTGATAATGTATTTGAAGCGTCTCAAATACCTTGTACAAAACCTCAAATAATAACAAAACGAGACAAATTAAAGAGGAAAGAAGGGGTACCTAATGATTGTGTAACTACTTTAAGAAAAAATATTGACTGCTTATCTGGTGTGCCTCAAATATCTTGTACAAAATCTCCACAAATTATATCGATCAGAGAAAAATTAAAGAGGAAAGGAGAACTTAACGATTGTGTAACTAATTTAAGACAAAATTTAGACAATTTACCTGAAGTGTGTCAAGTGCCTTGTACAAAATCTCAAATTATATCAAACCGAGATAATTTAAAAAGGAAATCAGAAGAACCTTCAGATTATGTAACTAGTTTAAGAAAAAATATTGACTGCTTATCTGATGTGCCTCAAATATCTTGTACAAAATCTCCGCCTCAAATATCTTGTACAAAATCTCCACAAAAAAAAATATTGACTGCTTATCTGATGTGCCTCAAATATCTTGTACAAAATCTCCACAAATTATTGTACAAAATCTCCACAAATCATATCGATCCGAGAAAAATTAAAGAGGAAAGGAGAACTTAACGATTGTGTAACTAATTTAAGACAAAACTTAGACAATTTATCTGAAGTATGTCCAGTGCCTTGTACAAAATCTCAAGTTATATCAAACCGCGACAATTTAAAAAGGAAAGCAGAAGAAGCTCCAGATTATGTAACTAGTTTAAGACAAAGTTCTGATAGATTATCAGAAGTGTCTCAAATATCTTACCCAATATTTCCACTAATTAGATCAACCCATGAAAAATTATTTAGGCAAGGACACAACTTGGTATCGAAAAATGTTGACAAATTAAACACACCTAATTCTAATGAAATTAAAATGGACAAGAATATACATAAACGTGTGAAAAAGAGTTTATTTCAAAAAAATAAAGACAAACATTACAGTTTAAGTAAACTAAATAAAGGATATAGTACACCTTATGATAATATAACTAATTTAAGAAAAACTTCTGATTGTTTATCTGAAGTTTCTCAAGTATCTAGTACAAAATCCCCTGAAATTATTCCAAACAGAGAAAGTTTAAAGAGAAATAACGTGGATGATTGTATCATTAATATAAATAAAAGTGTTAATGATTTACCAGAAGTGTCTCAAATATCTTACCCAAAATCTTCTCAGATCATATCTTACAAAGAAAAATTAATGGAAAAACAAATAAAATACATTGAGTTAAATAATCTTGACAAATTGATTGCACCTAATAATTATGATAAAATTTACATGGATTTTAAATTTACACAAAAATTAAATGAAAAATCTGAAAATAAAAATTTTAATTTAAATAAAGAACAATCAAAGTTAAATTCAGTAGACTTAGGAAATATAATTGAATCATCTGAAGTAATTTATCCTTTTAATAAACAAAAATCAAAGAAAAATCAACTTAATGGTAGTAAAAAATCTAATATAAAGGATCATATCATAGGGAGTCATGTAGATAAATCAAATATTTCTTCTGAAGGAAATACTGAAAATAAATTGCAAAATAATGAATTAAAAAAATATACAGAAATACCAAAATCTAACTGCAGTGAAATATGCAGTACAATACATGTTAATTGTTTAGATATAACTTTGAATAAATTTAAACTTGAAAGCAGTAAGTTGAAACTTAAAAAAAACTCAATTGAGTTTAAGGAAGATCAGAATGGCAGTATAACAAAAATGTTTAAAATGGATGATAATGTAATCTCACCATTTTTAAACTCCAAAGAATTGGTCACAAAGACAATTAAAGAAAATGAAAAAACTTTTAAACCGAATAGAACAGTTCATTTTAGTTTGAGTAAAGATAAAAATACTTCATTTACAAGTCCATCTGAAGTAAGCATAATCCCTGCCACTCCTGAACATGATGTACTTAATGCAGAAAAACCCATAGTTGAATATTCTCCTGAAACCCATGTAAGTAAATATGTTCCGTTAATTGAAGTTGATCAGTCACCAAAAACACCACAAAAAAATAATTGTCATGCACTCATACAGTCTGATCAATCTTCATCAAATATGAACACTACTTTGTTACCAGGTATATTTGAAACAGCAACTTCTCCACCACAGTCCTTCAGAAATTCTAAACTACCATTTAATGTAAGTAATTAAATAAAACACTATATAAGATACAAAATTGGAAACTATAATGTTTATTTTTAATTTGCAGATTGATTCTGTAGAAACACCTAGTATTACTTTTGAAAATGAGAATTGTGTTTCATCAGAAATGTGTAGGAAAAAATTTGTTGATAGCCCATCACCTAACCATTTTGATTCTGCAAAAAAACGTAAAAAATGTTGGTAAGTAAATTTTTTCTAAATTCTAATAAGAAATATAACTTAATTTAAATTGTTTAAACTACAAATTAATATTTGTAGTATAAAAGTGATTAAATAAAATGTAAATTTAACTATCAAACTTAAGTCTAATATACATTTATATAAACTTACATTTTTAAATGTTATGATTTTAAACTATAGTTAATTTTAATTAAATCAATATTAAAAATATCATTGTTATTAGGAGAAATTTAATTTGATTTACAATATGTATAAGGTATAAACAGTTTCTTATTATAAGTATACTGACATTTTAATTTCTAATCTAATTTGAATTTTATTTTGGGGATTTTCTTTTTAAATTTGATCAGATTTTAACTTATATTGTTACTTTATTACACTTATAGCTTATGCTGTTTTTATAATAAATCATTATTTCACAAATTTATGTAGTTTAAAATAACATAGATTAATGGTTAAATATGACTATGATTTTATGAAGTACAGTATTATTTTAATAATAAATAAATTGTACATTCACAGATTATTTTATCATTAATACAAATATGTTTAATACATTTTTTTCAACAGTAAGAATGGATTGAGAGGAAAATTTCAAGAACTTATCAATCGTAAAAAATCTGAAGCTTGTATTCGCGAATATGAGAAAAACTTATTTAAAAATCATCATTCAAAACAAGGTGAATCTGCAATACTTAATGTTGTTGAAGCATGGAAAGAGTTTGGAACATATATTCTATTTTGTTATTATATAAAATCAGGTAAAGGAATTATAAATTAAATATAACAAATTGAATATTTTCAATACTAATTTATTATTTATTATGATATGCTTTAGAAATGGAAATTCAAAAAGTATTAGTAATTTTAAATAATTGTCCCAAAAATGCTACCAAAAATAGTATAATACGTATTCGTTCTCCATGGTTGACCATAGAGTCTAAAACTACTGAAACAGTATTGTTTGTAGGCATCATTCACGCTGAAGTAATTGAGCACTCAGTATCCATTAAGTCTCTTGGACCTACAGGCTTATTTACAAGTAATATCAACGGGCTACAGACAACTATATTTCAAAGTGATATTCTATGGAAATGTAATTGTTCCAAAGGTATTTTATGAATTACTTAATATTCTTATTATTTTTATATACAGTGAAACATGTCTTAACAGACAATATAATATGATTCTAGGTAAAAGTTAAGTATTTCAAACTATCTATAATGGACATGAACAGTAATATTTCAGACAAGGCCAATTTCTGGCCAAAGTGTATCTTTCCTTTTTCTGACGATTCCCGTTTTTGTCAAAGCATAAAATTGGTTGATTCCCCTTCCTGCCAATAATCGCAACTTTCTCATTTCTAACAAATAACAAAATCTAGTCTAATATTCGAATATTAATGGACGATTGTATCTATTACAATTATTAATTTCACAAATAAATAAATTTAAAATTTAAAAAGTTTTTTTAAATTTATGTATGAAAAAAATGTTGTTTATTATTCATTGAACTCCAGGTAAAAACAGTTGTTAATACTTATAATGATTGTTTTTACCACAATTTCTTATACAAAAAATTTTAAAAATATAATTACTTTTACTATTGTATTAGTTCAAAGTTATCTATAACGTACTGTAATATCTGCCCAATGATAAATTTATTAAAGATTATTGTATTTTCCCCTTACTCTATAGATTATGTTGTTATTCTTGCTTATAGTATCAGCTGATATTTTAATTTAATGTTAATATTTGTATTTATTTTTTTCTTAAATTTTCAGATACGACTTAAACCAAATATCATATTTATAACTATTATAAGCTATAAGAATATACTTATAATATGACCTATATTACAAATAACATAGCATTTATATTTTATATGAAATTTGTTTATTTAATTAAATTTAACCGCACCTGTACAACCATAACTGTACATTTTAACATTTTTTGTGAATATTTTGAAATTTTTTTTATAATACAATAGTAATAATTTATGATACAATCGTCTTTAGACTAATTTTTTTTCATTTTGCGGAAAGAAAATTGACCTAATTTATGATTCGGCTGAAAAGGAAATGTACATTTTTGGCAAAAATGGGTAACTCCTAATATTTTTCCTTATTGGCACGATAATGGACAACAATTTTATAGTAAAACAAAGGAAACTGATAAATGTCCAACTACTCGCTTTTAATATTATTTTAAACTATAATTTTTATTGTGTGTCTAATAATGAAAAAAATGTTATGTCCTATTATTCTATTTTAACCAGATACTATCATTGCGCTCTGCTTATTTAGAATATGTTGTTTTTCCTTTGCAGTGGTGCTTCATTAGGGATTCCAAAAGTCCTGTATTATACAGGATTTTCTAGTATTTGAGACAAGTGTCCTGGTGTTCCGACCAAATGTTTTAAACAACACTTTTATCCCATATTTCGAATCCCCCATTCTGTGTGTCCCTCAATAATCCTTATTTCTAAAGTTATATAATTCAAATTAGCGTGTTATCATGAGATTGTGTAGTAAATATCACTGTAGAAGTGTAGACAAGTTATATTTTTAAGTTATGTCGACTTATAATAAATATGTCAGTTTGATTACAACATTAATTTTCTTAAAATTTTGATTTGGATAACTTTTGAATTATGGACTAGTTTTGAAGGCTACATACTTACCATCACTCCCTCCCACCACATAGTTTGTTGCAATACATGTAAATTTTAAGTGAGATTTAAAATGTCCCGTATTAATAATACATAAATCTGAGATCCCTATACTTCATGTACTATAGAAATCGTTAGATTTTAAGCAAAAAGTGAAAACTGTTTGATAAAATGATACTAGTGACTAATCTATTCATAAACTTATTGTAAAATTTGACATCAGGAGTAGTTGAATTAATTCTACTAAAAACACTAAAACTTTTCTACAATGGACACCTGTATCTAATGGATACTTTTGATGGTTCGTGAGTCCGTTATAGATAAATTTCACTGTATACAATTTTTGTTTATGATATCTAATGTTTCTAATGGTCATCAATAGTATTTTAAACTACAATTGATTTAAAAATGAACTTTTTTGTACATATATAATTGTATAATAATAACTAAATCTAAATTAAAAATAATATTATCTTATTTTTAACAGAAAAAAATTTGCTTTTTATCTACTATACTGTACTAATAATCTACAAGTTATAAGTTCAAGGTAGGTGTTGTAAACAATAAGTCTGTTCATAATATTAAATAATACCATCTCCACTAATTTTTTGAAATGTAGACAAAGTAATTATACATTCTCTTTGAAATAATACCCTTTAAACATTTCTTCACAGTTCATACATATGCTACTTTAACAGTGATTTAATTAAATTTTTTTTTTCTAGATACTGCTTGTCAATGTTTGGGAGAATTGAGTGTTTACAATTATTTGCAATACATGATTTCTCATTAAGATAAATACTTATTCATTTAATAGTTTTGTAAATTTTTTGTTCAGTGTATACAGTATTTCTTTTTATTTTTATGTTGTATAGGTATTTAATATATATTTATGCTTTTTGTTAATTTTTTATATTATTTATACAGATTAAATTAAGGCGTATACGTTCATAAAATATTTATATTGTTAATCTATGCTCTAGGGCTTCATAATCAAGTTGTTTTGGAGGGATCTAGAATCGGATCGTTAAAATTTTACATTTAAAACAGATAAACCCGATGATTGGGTCACTATATTAACCTATTTTTATTATTGAATCCGAAATTTAGGCCACTATATTTATGGTTATAAAAATAATTTATATGTTCTTTTAGTAACTATTTTGTCTACTTTAAGACAAACAAAAAGATATTTAAATAAAGATGTTAAAATCAATTATTTTTTATTGTTCTGATCATGATTTACAATTTAGGTCAATGTAAGTTATTGTCAATTGTAAACAAGGACTTCAAGAAGAAATTTAGCATGATATTGAAATCGTAAGATGTAGATTCCACCCTGCGAATAAGAACTATTCAAAATATTCAATAATTTATCCGAAATGAGTTGTTTGGTTATGAGGAAAATATTCAATAATTCATCCAATCTATGGAAAACTATCGATATATATACTATTTGATAGTTCACTAATAGAAAAATAAAATATTTTATAAATAAACGCATTTGTAAGATAATACAAATTAATAGGTACAGTTAAATAATTAAGTAAAATTACTTATATTGTGTTGTTTATATTTTATAACTGGACTTCAGACAGACCATCTACCATAGATGTAGGTAATAAAAATGATGGTCAGAATAAAGTGATAAAATAAATTTAATGACAACTTAAATAACTGAAAGTATCACTGCACTTCCCATTGATAATATTATAAATAATAAAATCATCATCATCAGGTGTATTATTCATATATAAATCAAAATTTAAAATGCGACACAAGGTGTATAAGTATATATATCTTATATACCTAGTATAAACATATAACATAAATTAATTGACCACACATCAGTTGTCTAATTAATTTGTATCATTGAAATTGTAGGAGTTTGATGTAAATAGACCTTTATTTTTCTCATCACATAATAATGGATGCCGCTCTCCAGGCCCTGATTTCTGTGTTATACATTTTGTGGCCTAATCTCTATGTACCTATACTTTAAAAATTAAAACTTATTTATTTTATTTGTAGCCCAATACCTTGGGCATTAAAATGTGGCATAATTACCGACCTCTTATTGTTTTATGTAATCCAAAATAAATATTAGATCTATTTATTATAATAATAATATAGTGCGTGATTTTCAATATGCAACACTTCATATATTTGTACTTTACTTTGATCTATCTTTTTGCCGTGATATGTTCTTAAGGCCATGGGTATATTATATTAATTTTTTACTCAACAATTTGATCACAAAATTTTTTTTTTTCATTTATAATTATTTATAACTTAACTAATACTATTACTTGAGTGAAATCTGATAAAAATACAGATTTCAAAACAATATTTTAGGTAAATGTTAGCAAAAGGTCAACATTTTATAAATAAAAAACAATCGGTACAATAGGTATATCAATCAATCATGTTTAGCTTCACAATAATTAGTATATATTTATAATTAATCATATACATGTATATTTAATGTATTTTTTATGTATCTCTAGGATTATTAGATTTAATTGTATTACTTTTTTAAAATTACTCAAATGTTTAAACTAAATTGTGAGTTAAAATGACTTATTTATACAGTTTCATAATAGTTTATTTTTAAATTTTAATTGTTAAGATTGTATGATGTTTTTTATTTTGTTTTTGTCTGTAAAAAAATTGTCTGCCAGAAAAACTGCTCCAATCAAACAAACAAAAATAGTGTTTTTTTAGAATTTTGGATCTAGTTAGTATATCGAGGAGGACATTTTATTACATTTTTCTAAATAATAATTTTCTCAGAAAAAAAAACAAGTTTCATTATTTACGATTTTATATTTTTGTTGGAATTTAATTAGAAATAACCTTAAAGATCTCAAACTTTCACAGAATAACAATAGTCTATTTTAGACGTGGTTTAATTTTCAATATATTTTGGAAATTATTTGTAGGCTATTGACATTTATGTGTTGTTTAGTTTTAAGTGGATTTAATTATTTGGTTGAACAGAAGTGATTGAACATTTTACATGGGATTCACTTGAGGTTTACTTAGTGGTTGAAAAAAACTTGAGTTTTTTTTATAAGACTTAAAATTTTGACGAAAATCGTAAAAATTACAGTATTTTAAAACATGTGTTTTGTGGGTACATCCGAATTTCGTTTAGAATCGTTTATTGTTGCTTACAAGTATAAATGAAACAATGTTATGTATCTCACCCCCCCCCCAACTTCCTTTTTGCAATAAATAATAACGGCATACATATTTCCAGTATCAGATTTAATTTTCTTTCTTATATACCCAGAATTGTTTCGTATTAGGCTGAAATATGCACTTTTTGAAGCAATGTGAATTTCACCGAGTTGTTCCGAAAGAATGATTTTTTTATCATTGAACACCCCTACAAAAGACCCCCCTGCAAAATAAAACTAGGAGAATGTAATTTTGTACATATAAAGGATATGCCTTCTGGAGGTTACAACGTTTGATACAAATGTATGCTCGCATTTCACATTTTTTTTCTGTTTTAGAAGTATAGTATACAATTGTATAGCAAAGTGTTATTTGTAATAGTATCTATTCGGTTATTTATGGTTTTATGAACAATTTTCATTAATGAAAAATAGATAGGGGAAAATAAAATTCGACTCTATATCGTGTTGGAGCTGATAGTCTCAGGTGTTTTTTTGATAACAATTCCTCAACGGATTTTATTTTTTTTTTTAATTAAAATTATTTTAATTACATACACAAGTTTCAATTAACTCAAAAGATTTTTTTTGGTGTTGTTTTTACAAAATAAAAATAACTAAAATTATTAAATTTAAATCATTCAATACATTATCTCTAGTTAATAAAATTATATATTATGATTTTTATTTAGTTATGTAATTAAAACAACTGAAAAAAAAATTAAATTGTAAATAATAAGAGAGACCATACAAATTACAACAATTTTTTCATTTTATTTAAATGTTCGTATTATAAAACTTATTTTTTATTGTTGTTAATACTAAATTTTAATTTTTATAAGAAATTATAATACTTATTATTTAGTTTTTGTACTACCTGTAGTATTGTGGCTTGGTACAATGATAATTTCAAAAATCCAAGATATAATCTGGTGTGATATGTTGTCGTTATAACTGTTTAATCACTACATATTTTTGATTTTCAAAAAGCAAAATTTATTTAAAATAAATTGAGTATTAGTTTAAATTAACTTTAGTGCTGATATTTTTAATTTCCGTCAATCTATTGACGAGATATTCCACTTTTAAGTTTCGGCGGGAAGCGTTATAATAATAATGTTCCATCACTCTGCTCTTATCTAAACTTAAAAGTATAGTATCTTTTCAACGGGTTGACGGAAATCAAAAATTTTAACATTTAATTGTTATTAAGCTAATACTCTATCTATTTTTGCTACTTTTAGTAGCCATTTAAAATCCAAAAATGGTATTGGTTTCATCTCTCAAATTAAGGGAGTAAAAAACCTCGTATTGTAAAATTTTAGAGCCATTTATTTCTTACATTTTCAAAAAAAGTTAAGATTATTCAACTATGCAGATTACTCTATACATGAATTGAAAACAAAAATTGGTACTTTAATAAAGTCATATTTTATAAAATAAGTCAATAAATAGTTTTCCAAAAAAATATGTCTTAATTCCATAAAAATAGAACATTACGGTGGTTTTAAACACAACACATTATATTGCATGTACTATATAAACTGGAAAGAGACGAATTTCTATATCCAAAAAAGAAATATTGAATACCGAAAATCAAATAAATCTAAAGTAGCAAAGTTAACGTATAGTATTTAAATTGTTAAGATAATCAGTAGAACCTGCAAATAAGCATTATATAATCTAAACTAATTTCAAAGCAACCACAACGCATTAATAGTAGGTAGAACTGTTTTAGATTTCATCCTGAGTTGTTGATCATTTAGTTTTACAGCGGTTTACTTTTATTTTTGGCCAAAAACAAGTGATTAAAAGGGTTCATGTGGACTTTCTAAGACCGAAAATTTAACGAATTTCATTTTTATATTTTGAACGGAACAAAAAATGTATTAGTTGTACATTGATGTTTATCTATTTTTTTATCTGAGAACATTTTTTCTCCGAATTTTTGATCCGATTTTTGAGTGTAGCAATTACATAACAAGTTATGTAAGTTTCATAACAATTCGGAAAAACTGGAAAATTTACGAAATATATTATTATTCAAATCGTAAATATACGGCTTCTCATAACATTTATAACTGAACTCCGACGAATAATCGTTTTTCGTTAGCAATGATTAATCGTTCCGTACAGATAAACATTCAATTTTCCCTCTACCTTTCCAACTTCTCAACTACAACAGTGACTTACCCATTGTGCGAAGTTTGTTACTTTGTTTTGATGTTTGTTTTTGTAGAGACTAAAACTGACAAAATTTCTTTCAATTAATGGCTTTCGTTCTTCTAACCGGATAATATTGTTCTTTCCTTTTATGGTTTATAAAAACCTATTAATTCTGTTCTTTAAACATATAATTAAAAAAAAATTAAAAAAATACTCGGCAATTTGAAAAATAAGCACTTAAGGCTCTAGAAACAAATGCATAACAAACATTTGATATTATAACATCAATGACAACACTCTTTATACTCTAAAATCATTTGTCAAATCAGAAATACGTATTTTATCAGTTTTTAAATTAGATTAAATGGCGCAAGTGCAATAGATAATTTCGTACCGTATTTATGGTATTTCTTCGATATTCCCCCCTCCCTTCTTAAATGAAACCTTCATTATATAATGTAGTATAATAGTGTAATCAAACTAAATTGCTCCGATTTATATCACGGAATTTGTATAATAAGAACTAAATATTTTTAAAACTATAATATTTTACTGTACAAAATTGCCCTCGTGGTGGCAAATACAGCAGGTAACTTCTAAATTGACAAAAACGAAATTATTATTTCAGTACTTATTGTTAGTAAGTATTGATTCCAGAAAATTGGCTGTAAGATATATTTATAGGTCTGTATAACTTTTTTCCTATCCACTTTCTTAAAATATGATTCGGCGCCACTGTGTACTTATATATAATTTATTTCAAGATGTTGTCAAAATTAACTTTTTAAATATATTTTAATGCACTTTGAAGTGTTTCTTTAAATTTAGATAGACATTTTGAATCTACGATTCACTGTTTTTCGGCCGTTTTGATACGTTATCTTTAGGCATCGCGGTATGAGATTCATATTTTGTATTTAGTTGCTCCTGATTGGTAATTTTGTTTTCCAAACAGCTAACCTTTGCGTGTAATTGGCCCTCGAGCGAAGTGCCCTTGTGCCATTGAATTGCGTTTGACCATGAGCCCATGGCATCTTTTCGTTTTTTTTTCCATGATTCGACGACGACGTTAGAAAAATAACGGCCTCGCGGTCATGATACGTAATAATTTTAGTCAGTCTTCGTCGTTGAGTACCTATTTTTGGACTTGTCGCGTTTTCACGAGTAATCGTGTGTGTCGGGTGTATGCGATTCACTGTTAGTAGTGTTTTTTTTCATTTCTCGTACCTGCTGATATGTGTTTTCATAATATTAATTTTTACGGTGCAAGTGTCAATTGTAAATTATAATAAAATTAAAGTAATAATAATTGCCTTCACCATACTCGTTTTGAACATAGCAGCGGTCAGCGGAGTTGTCGTAGCCGTATTGCCTGTGTCTATACAAGTTAGTCCCTTGTGTTTTCATTTTATTTCAGGTTAGCGGTTATACCTATAAGTACTCATACGATATTCATGTTCATTATAATAATGTATTATAGTCATCTGCGATTGGTATAGGTACCTAATATACTTTATTTTGATAGAAAGTGGTTACCTCACTTGGATTTTTTGCCCGTTTACATAGGAAAAATCAGAAAGACCTACCTATATTGAAACGTGTATAGGCAGACGGCGTGGTGATCAACTACGGCCCGCGATAGTTAATTAATCGGCCAACCAAAGTATTAAATAAAAATTGAAAAAAAAAATAACTTCAAATTTCAAAAATAATTAATGTTTATAATTTGCATTTTTTTTTTATTTATAACAATCTATACATTATAAATAATTAAATATATCACTGTATATTAAGACGTATACTTACAATAAAATATAATATTCTATTAACTTAAAAGTAAAAGTTTTAACTCTTGGTGGGCCAAGAATCGTTATTATTTTGTATGGCCCTTTGTAAAATAAAGGTTAGTCACCACAGGGATTACCACTGTTTTAAGGAATTTTCACTAGGCGATATTGCGAAATAAAATTTAGGGATATGCCACAGAATATTTCTGCTCAATCCCGCCTCTCCACCAAATTTCAATCAAAATTTAAATTCAATGAACATTTTACTTAGGTAGGTGCATTATTAAAATGTGTAGTGTATCTTATAGATTTATTGGTTAGTTATCAATGAAAATATTTTGATTCAATATTTATCAAACAATTTTAACTTTTAGTATCATCATTTTCATATAACACATGTAAAATTATGAAGAGTTATTTAATTTAGGTATATCTATACGCAAGGATAAATCATTGTTTACGATAAACAATTTTAAGCAAAGTTCGTTTAAACTTATACAATAAAACGGTGTAACACAGTTTAACAATAGTAAAAAGTAATTAATATATTTAATCAGTGGAAAATTATAATTTAAGAGGCCCTTTTTATAGTGGAGGCCTTATTATTTTTTAACCTTCATTTAGGTATATTTTAGTAAAATATAATTAAATTTAATTAACCAGTTATTTTTAAAAACTTATTTATTGTTCAAATTTTCAACTTACAAATTATTTTTAATAGGGAGATTTCGTAGAAATAGCATATTCTGTTTCCATGGTTGGTATACATTAGCTATAGCTACAACAATATCATCACATACAGTTTCTGAGGATGGTAAAAAATATTTTAATTATAACATTTTAAGATTAAATATTAATATAGTTTAAATCAATTGTTGTTACTTAGATAGTTACCTGTAGATTTTTCCAATAGAATTTCTTCAATCAAAAAATCTTTGATTTGGCTCCAAAGATAAACAAGTTGTTACATTCTTCTTTCAAAACTGAACTGAGAAACTACTGACCAAAATGATCCCAATTTTGCTACATCAATTGATGCTTTTCTATATTTTTCATATGCTGTCAACATTTTTTGGTTTTATTTTTTCGGTCGTTGAATTTCAATTTCTACTGGTATTTGAATTAGTGTGTTCAGAAGGGTTTAATATTCTTTTACTGTTTATGTACTAATTTCTCGTCCACCTTACATTGTATAGACTTTCAATAAATACAAGGTTGTTTGTTTGTCTCCTTTTATTGAAGATATGTTTACATGGCAATCTCATCGAATTGAAAAAACTAAATGAACATGAAATAAGTGTATCTTCTAGAACATCTTTCCTCAGGCCAAAAAAATTATTTTTAAGAAACTAAACTCATACAAAGTTAGATGATTGTAATACATTTCTTTGTCCATGTTTTTTTGTTGTTGGTCTTTTTTGAACTATCTTCATTTCCCTGTGATCCAGTTCTGACAGAATACATTTTAAAATAATAAATCTTTTTAAAAAAACTCTGCAGATTAGACTATACCGGGATTACAGATTTAAGTTTGAAAATAAAACTTTATAAAATATTCAGTTACGTAAATTGGTCTAAATTTCTGGCAGTGCAGAAAAATATTTTAATTTTTAACACACCAATACTTCAACTTCCTATGTAAATAACCACCTAATAAAAAATTTATTTTTCAGTAGGTACAAAATTTTTTTTATGAATGAATATATTATAAGTTGAATTATTTTAATAAATAATAGTAAAAACTTTATTATTATAACATTTAAAGAAAAACTATAGACACCTACTTGTTCAATAAAAAAATATAGACTTGAAAATAAAAACTATAGGCTAAATGATATATGATTTCTTGGTGGTGCAAAAATATAAATTTGCATAGCTACATTTCAAATATGGTAGTACAACTGCTATATTTGCACCACCCAATTTATAACATTGAATTTATTGTTTGTAGAATTTAAAAAATTGCCACTTTGACTCGTTATACCAGTTACCCATTGTACGCAGATATTGTGCTAATTTTTATAAAAGTAGGTTACAACTTTATGTGGAGTTAACTCAGAGTTGATAAACTCTGTATATGTGTTTACATTTTTACATTATCATAGTTTCTTAAATACTTGCTTACATATATCTTTCTCATTGGTCATGGTTTACAATTTATCACACGTTATTTCCGTGTTAAATGTCCGCAATATATGAAATAAGCATGTACAATTCGGAAAACAGATTTTAGGGTAGTCCACTTTTTCATATCTTTGTCCATAATAAACACTCTTGTATTCGTACTTGTGGAATTAATATGTTCTTTAAATTTATTCTATAACCATTCTAGCGTCTCCTTTTCTTCATTAACTAATGGGCTAAGGGCTATTATTTCATTCTGGCCATTACCGTCTTCGACTAGCAGGACATTTTCTCGGATTTTTATATCGATTAGCTTATAAGTTGTATCAGAACAAACCAGCTATATATAATAAGTATAAAAATAAATGATAAAATTATGAATATAAAATTCATATGTAAAATTGTATGATTTCATTTACCTCAGAAAAATGTTCAAATTTTATTTTCATTCTAGAATCTTAAAGAAACATTCCCAATAAATTTGTATCATTGTCCATTAACAATTAAATTGTATATATATATATATTTATATTTTTTTTATTTCTTCAAATGTTTCCTCAACATTTTTCGTTCTATGCTTCTGTTTCTCTATGAAATAATAAATAAATAATAAATGTAAAATAAAATCTTAACTATAGTTAAGCTACCTGCACTATTAATATTGGATAAGTTGTAACGTTCAAAAACGACCATTTTCCGTTATCAAAGGACAAGCATATCTACAATCGATATGGTCGACCGGTTAATAGATTACGCCCGCGTCGACGGATATGTTATGTCATCAATCGATATGGTCGACCGGTTAATAGATTACGCCCGCGTCGACGGATATGTTATGTCATCATGGATATGGTCGACCGGTTAATAGATTACGCCCGCGTCGACGGATATGTTATGTCATCATGAACAATAATTCCCCCCCCCCCCGTGCTAAGGTTTATGCGATCGCAATCTGTTGCAATTCACAATGATATTATATTCTTGACTACCGGTTAACGGCCAATCATATCACGTTTCCCCTTATCGCCAAAAACGTCGGCCCGCGGCGACGTGTGCCACGAACGTCTCCGCGCTCTGCTACCTAGTTTTCTTTTTTTTGTTCGTTCCTTCTTTCGTGTCTGGACCTACTCTCGAGATTTTGTCACCAGACGGTCTTTTTATACAGTTCTTTTAATAAAACACTCCCGTGTATTGCATGAATTTACATATATTGCCTTCAAGAAAAGGTCGTGTACTTTGGCACGTTTCATGATGATGCCTCAAACGAACCAATGAAGTGAGTCCCGATCTGGTCCGCTGGGCGGCCATCTTCGGGCGAAACGAATGGTAATATGCATGTGATTTAATAATTGGCCGAGACCCCGTTAGTTAGTTAGTTTTTAATGTAATTCAGTTAAGGTGTTCCCCGTATGAATATTTTTATCTAAAATGTTTCTTTTTTTTTTTGTATGTTAAATTCTTCCGATATACTTATGGGGGGATCAACCAGTTAGATTTATGTGTCCGTCTCATTATACTAATCCCCGCGTTCCACATCCTATGTGCGATAAGCCAAACCCCTCGCATTTTGTTTTTGTTTTTTTTATTTTCTATTTCCTAAGTGCTAGGTTTTTCAACCACTTGTGTGAGCATTTAAAAAAAGAATATATACATATTGATTGATCTTCCTCACTCCCCATATTTGGATGCATCCTGTAGGTTCACGCATAGGGCCACTAAAACTACGGATCAGTCAAGATGGAATAAAAAACGTTTTCGCTACCCTTCCAGGTGATAATCTGTGTGACTAGGCAACCGCACATTCCTGCCGGGGTCTCGCTAATATTTAAGGTGCCCACGAAAGTTCCACATGGGGGTCTAAACAATTTTACCACAGAGTACCTGCTGAATAAAAATTACGTAAATATTAAAATGTCTATAAATAGCTCAAAAACGATATTTTTTAAACTTTACTATGTCTATACAAAGCAAATATACAATTTTTGTTCAAATTTCAAGTCTACGAATATTTTTAACTAAATTAAAACACATAACAAATAATAAAATACTTTAATAATTGGATTAAGGATGCCAAAACTATTGTTGTTATAAAGAACATTTAAGTTTTTATTATGTTATTCGATATATACATTGTTTTCAGGTTTTCAAACTGTAATATGTAACGAAATTTGTTACTGTGACGTATTATTTATCCTTTATTATTATACATAATTACGATTAATCTTTGCAAACGATAAACGATTCTTAGCGGAGTTCGGTTATAGGTATAAGTTTTGAATTTTGGAAAAGTCGTAATATTTACGATTTGAAAATAATACAATTATGTATTTATTTATGAAATATAAATGAAATAAAGACAGCGTTATAGAGTGCTGTATGAGTTTATTACGCAGGATCAATGTTTACACGCATAAAAAAAAAAGAGCTACATAAAGGTAAGATACATAAAGTTATTTCATTTATATCTCTAAGCAACCATAAACATTTGTTTGACGAAAAACGTCCGAGCACAGTTCGGTAATACATAATTTGAAGTGCCGTATTTTTTTTTTTTTTTGTGATTTTCGTTTAAATTTAGTTTCAAAATGATTATTAAAAAAAAAAAAGTCGTCCAAAGATTTTGAAAATTTTACCACGTCTAGATAAATCTCTACGTGCATTTATAACCGAATTAGAGCCAAAAATTAAAATTCATTAAAAGCTTAAAAATGACTCAAAAGTGTTGGCGATGATACCGTAAGAAAGTAAATCAGAAAGACAACCAAAAAGGTATCTTGTGATTTTTTGATTAAATCATTTTTTTCTGTTAAAAAACATCGTCTGTGTTTTTATAAAATAATGAATTCATGAAATTGTATGTTTTCCTACGTTTTTTCCCACTTAAGTGGTTTTATTTAAAAAATGACCACTTTAAAGTACTATATAGACAACTTGAACTTTCAAAAAAGTTGTTACACGTAAAAATCGAAGTAAGTTTACTAGGAAAAAATGTGTCTACAGACTAGAAAAAAAAAAAAAATAATAAACAGTATTGTAAAACCAATAATTCCTTCGCTACACTCGGAATCTAAAATATATATAATATTTGTACCGCATGAGTACGAAAGTGTTGAAATTTAAATTCTAATTTCGACTCGTAATAATACTATTGTTATTCGAATATAGTAAGCATGCCAGTAAAATAATATCTTACAGTATATAGTATACTTCAGTTATCTACTAAAAAGATAAACATCTTAGTAAAACCAATAGCTCCCTTACTACTCTCGGAATCTAAAAAAAGAAGATTTTATCGGGGGTGGTGGACGGCGTTATGAATTTGAAAATAAATCAATTTCAGATAATGTTTGGTGGGTTTGAGGGGTTAAGGTTTAATTAGGTTTATGAGTAAAATATTTAAATTGTTTAATTTTCATTTATAGAAAATGCATATTGAAAAACAATTTAGACACATATTAATTATGTATTTAAATATACTTTACTCATAAGTACAATAATATGGTGGTGCATTTAAACCTTCGTACTTCGAGATATTGTTTGGTTATTATTTTTTTTAAAAAAAAACAAATTATTAATTTTAAATCATTTTTCGTTTATTTTAGACATGGAAATTTTTTCTAATTGCTTTTTATAAATAATATCGTGTAAATGGACGTCTTCAAAGTAAATGTCGTAATGTGCTCATTTTTTGGCATTTCCCATCACTTTTTGAAGTTTTTCGGGCTGAATAGTAGCCATTTCCTGTCATATATTATTTTTCAACGTTTCTAGGGTCTATGGGTTGTCCACATAAAATCTAGACTTTAAACTCAGATTATTCCGGTTTTTCACATTTGCTGGAAAACTCTTGAAAAATTACCTCCTTAAAGTACCCTCCCAATAAGATTTTTATTATAGAAAAAGTGCTATCATTGTAAATTAGAGCTAAATTGCTGGTAGAAAAGTTTTCCACAGAAAAAATAATCGAAATACTTTATTAATATATTTCGTACATTTTCCCGTTTTTTCTCCGATTTTTTTTCGGTTTTTCACATTTGATGAGAAATTTGTGCTATATTTAAAAATCGGAGCAAGATCTCTGGTAGAAAAGTTGTCTACAGAAAAAAAAAATTAAACAAACATCTTTGTAAAACCATAAACTTTATTTAGAATCTAAAACGGGGTTTAACAATTTTAATGTAACCAATCTATCTGTCATGAAATTTCCCATAAATATGTTATATACCAGATGATTCATTTAAGTGGGTACACTCAGTATCTCGGAAAGCATTAACTTTTTCTGGAATTTTTTAGAACATTTTAGAAACAAGCTACTTTACAATTTTATATTTATGTTAATTTTTATCACTATTATTTTTAGGGGTAAAACTACCTACTTTTGATTTTCAATCTATATTCAATCTATATTAAAAAGTCCGTAAATAGAGTATCAGTTGTGGCGGTACGGCTCGAGGCATGTTAATAATCATTAATAATCGGTATTGTAAAAACTAAAAATTGACAAAATGTGAGACACGCTTTTTGACGAACACCGTTCAGTCATAACCTGCGATCAGACTATCAGAGTACATGTGGCGCGCGGCGTTCGGAATGCACGGCCACATACACCACTATACGATACGACGGGAGCGCCCGGATACATACACGAAATTCAAAATGTCCAGTTCCATGTCTATACACTTTTGCTAGCTCGATCAATCAATTATAATTTCACTTCTTCTTAGTAGTTTAAAAAATGTTAATACTTGCATCTAAATAGTTAAATAATAATGTACAATATTTTAATTCTTCAAAATATTTAAAAAAGAAATATGCGTTTTATTTTTGTAGATTATAAGTCTACATTCTCTAATTATTTTGAGGATCTCTTTATAACTGTTGTTTCTAAAATACGCTAGGCATAGTAGTATAAAAAAAAAAAACCTTTTGCAGTTTAGTATACTATGCTAAAATATCCACTGCCACCTATCATTTTGAGGTCCACAGAAATCGGTTTTTAGGAAGCACTACAATACATTTATACATATATAAACTAATACGAGTTCCAGTATGTTTATAATAATAATATTTATAACTATTAATTAGATTAAAAATTATAACAACATTAGACAAAAAAACAAAGAATTCGGCCATACTTAATACAGCAATGCGAGTTGGTAGGTATTCTTTATTTTTCAGGAGAAAAAATATCCCGAATGTAAAACGTAAAATGTTTGTTCTTTCTATAATCGTGTATCTCAACCTTGGTAAAATTAATTATATTGAACATATTATTTGGTTAATTGCAGGGATGGTAATATATGCGTATGAAACGTACTCGTTATTTTTGGAATTTGATATTTAATTTAAATATAATTTATTGATCAATTTTTTTGTTTTTAGATAGAATAATAAAATAATAATAATGTACAACTAATTATTAAAATTATCAATAATTCATGTAATTTAGCTTGACGTATCTACTCCTTTGTATCTGTCATACTGTCACACATGAAACATGGATGCATAGACGGCCCGTTATATCAAATTAAAAATTTAAATTTTTTA